TAAAAATGTCAATTGGTGGGAAAATATAATAAATGTGTCGCTCTCTGTACCAAGTACGATCGGTTATTAGACCATAATAAAGCGCTATTATTAGCTATAGAAATTAATATATGTTTCATAGTACATGCTTTTGTATCTGTGAATTTTTTGTTAATAGTTTTCTCGTGTTTGATTCATCCTCCACTATTGGCGCGCCTATACTATTATTATGTAGGTGTAAAAATTAGCAAGCTGCCGGATGTGTAAAAACGATGTGCGATACCAGAAGTGTCGATTGGAGTCTATTCAAGTGAACTACATATGGTAATGGAAAAGGAAACTGTAGCATCAGTATTAATCATCACGAAACTACGACTCTTTTCGCAATGGCAACGCGTCGTATGTGTGATGGATTATGTGTTATTTATTCGCCATGAATCATTGGGGGTATTTACCATTTGTCGCGACATTTGATAAAGATTTGCGTTCTTATCTTTATCGAATAATTTGTTGCAGTAGCTCTTTGTTGTTGTAGTTTTTGTTGTTTTGTGGAATTCCTCGTAGGGCTTGCCCTCCGACTTCTTTGTTCTTTGTTAAACAACGGAACAAAGAAAGTGTAAATATTTGTCTGCGCAATAAGGAATCTGTCTGCAGAGTTAAGCAACACAGTTGGCCTACAGTCGCGACCGGTACAGTTGGCCCATAAGTGCGGCTAGGAAGTGGCTAGGAAAGGCAAATGTAGCGAATTAATATCGCTTTATCACGTTTTAGGTGCCTGTACTTCTGGTCATAATTTGCTACTTAAATGCTTACTGAGGCTGACTATGTTTATGGCTCCTTCATTATCTAATCAATATGCTGATATCGGCCACGCTTTTTTATTGAGCTTTAATTATGTAATTAGGGTATTAGCCATGAGCTTTGATTTAATGCGGTTCCCCTGAAAGCGACAATAACAATTATCCACGAGATTTTGTGTTTTAAAATTTGAGTGGCGATTGATTGCGGTTATCAAATAATTGGTATTTTTTGTCGGCCCGCAGTGAAAGTTGGCTGTCGGTTTTTAATTTGGTGTAAATTAATCCACAATCTTGTTGACAGCAGAAAGAAATTTGGAATTTAATATTAAGTTGCTTTTAAAGTTAAATAATTGGAGAAGGGTTGCTAGAAATTATAACATTGGTTCAAATAAAGAGAATATTTAGAAGAGAAGCTTACATCTATTTACTTGTAGAACAATTCTGGGCAATTTTTTGCATGATTCAACTTTAGATTGGCGCCCTCAGTAAATAAATTAATATTTATTAACCACAAAAAACTCGTTGCAATTTTAATTAAAAGCCATTAATTAACACTTTAATCTTTACCAGGTGATCCCATGATGCAGTGAGTAATTTTTTAACTCTGCAATAAGTTGGATTTCAATCGAATTGGCGCACACGCACTAAACAATGTCAATAGCTTAACAATTTTCACAGCCATATTTTTTGAGCCGAGATCTAGAAAATTCCCCACTTGCAAAATTGATTTTGCAACTGTTGCGTGTGCCTTAAATAAATCGGAAATTTAAAACTGATTTTCAAAGAAATCAATATTTATTTTTAGGCCAGGCCAACAATCATCATATCAATATTAATAAAATGTGGTTTTTGTAGTGTTATATATTTATATACATATTGTATAAATTTAAAACTGGCGAAGCAATTTGCAGACTAATTTCTCACTTGCGAATGAAATCGTATCGAATCGGATCAAATCAAATCGAATTGCGCATGCGCCATGTGGTCGGTCAGTCGTAAAGTGAATTAAAAACGTATTTCGTTTTTGCGGCTGTGCGGTTGTTTGTTTTTCGCAGCTTTTGCCATTAATTAGGACCCCCCGCCAACGCAGATCAGGGCCCCAAAACTTGTTCAAACAGAGCAGCGTTTACAGTACAGCCACGACCCGGGACGCGAAATCGGCGCCACACATTATATGGCTGATGTTATTGTCGTTTTATTTCGGGGCCGAACAGCTGTTTGGCATTTTTAATAAACAAACTTTGGCGTCTGTGGGCTCAGTATGTGAAAAGCATTTCGTGGATACACATCGATATACATCAGAGCTCGTTCGCACGCTAAGAGTGCGCGCTCCGAAGCGTCCGCCTGACTGCCTGCTTGTCAACCAAAAATTAAACAAACTCTACTTAAATAAAAAAACATTCAACTGAACAAAAACATAGTGTTTGAACAGTGATTTTGTTAACAAATTTGTTGTTTGCCCAACAAATATTAGACTGCTGGCTCTGAAAGTTTTGAAAACAAAAGAATTTGTGTCTACTGCCTGGGCAAGCCGTTGAACTCTTAAAACAACAAAGTAAATATATTTGTGAAAAAATAAAAAACAGAATCAACATATTCAACAGCGAGCAGTGCCAACGGAATTTCATTTGTTTTGATTTTGTGGAAAACGCCTCGCAGGCAATTCGTTCATTTTGCGCTTCAAATATTGCCCATACATTATACTATACATATCTGCTTATATGTATATAGAAGTAGTATAAAGCAGCATTCAACAGGTAAACAAACTCTTTTGTCTTGATGCTCAACAACTCAAGAGAGCTTTTGAATTAATTGAAGCCAACAAAGTTTACCCAAAAATCAATACAAATTACAAAACACATAGAATTTCTGTTAAACTTGTAATTGGAAAACCTTGAAGCGCTTTTAAGCAAGTGCCTTGTGATTTATACAGAAATCTCGAAACCAGTTGCTAAATTCTGACGGCGCTCACTAAATAATTTATACAAAATGCGTGTCTATGGCCAGACACTTTGATTTCCACTTCGGCCAAAATACGTGCCTGCAGTGAATTGCAAAATTATTGTAAATTATGCTCAGACCCCGGCCATTGAAACCATGCCATTGAGGCAGCCCCACACGTGTTTAGACTCAATTAGAAGTCGATTGTTTTCGGACTACTTGACAACAGTCCCAAGTCGTAGCGCTCTCGGCCCCGCTACCAGCTGCTCTCTTCATGCTAGTCGGTCGTGTTAGTCAGTCGTTACACATTAGTCAGCGCTGTAGTATATCAGTGCTAATATCTAAATTGGCGCCAATATATAAATATTTTTTTCACTGATAAGCCACAAAATATGTGCTGCCTGAATAGTTGATCTTACTAGCCAGCCAGTTGAAGTTTCTCAGTCTTGTTCAGACACGCGGGTTGCTCTGCCTTGTCTGGCGGCTGTTTCAGTGCGAAAGTGCGTTTAAATTTAATAACTAGGAATAGTACAGCTGTGTCAAAGCCATGGAACTTCCCAGCAACTAATTATTATTATTGCTGATAGTTATTTTGTTCCTAAGCGACACCAAGTGTTTCTGCTGCTGTTTCTAATTTGTGTTTTACGGCTGCCTCAAAAAAGATAAAACGAGCAAAATAATCAGTTGCCGGAATACACATATTATTTGTTTATATTTTTTAAGAGCCGTACGTGATCGACATTGTCTGCAAATCTACAACAATTAAGTGATAAAGATTTTAAACAATTACTTTGAATTTTTTGAACGTGTTCAGAACGTGTTGCTTCATAAATATTTCAATATTAGATAAATATTAGAAGTGGTCTAAATATTTCAGACTAAATGAGCTAAAAAGTTAGCTATTTATCCTTCACTGTGTCAACACTTTATTCCTTCATGGTTTTTTAAACAGCATTTCGCAGGGTCACCACTCGCGACCCATTAGTGATGTAGAACCTTCAGTTATGACTACATTGACAGTATTGTCAATATGCCATATGGTTTTCATTGGTTTTTGATAGAAAACTATTTCTTTTTAAATATCGTTTCAATGACAGCTCTATGATATAGTGATCTGGCCAGGTCCGTCTCGACATATAACATTTTCCAGTGAGGGGCATATAAATTCTAAGCTAGAGCCTACGCAAACGTTTAGACAGGCAGGCAAAAGAATTAGTTCTATTTTAAAAGTATGCCATGGAATGAACAAACCTTCAAAGTTTCAAAGTTTTTTTGTACGATGCACTTTTCAGAACCTTTTTGTAAATACGTCAAATTTGTGTGCAAATACTTGGCATTAATTGCTTGCAGATTGGCCGCTTGTGTGCCCGCTCCTTGGGCATTAGATTATCTATGAGAATAATTTCAAATAATGATTAGCCTGCAAAATAATTTGTGTCAAAATATTCATATTTCATTAAAGAAGTTTTAATTTTCTTATTGTGTTTATATTTGAAATATCAGATTTAAATGTTTTTTTGATATATATTTTTATATTTTTTTTAGCTTCAGTATTTTTATGCGAATATATAAAACTTTTCTTAGCTTACCAGTTTTCGGATCAAAATATTTATTTTAGTTTTGACATCTTTTTTTTTTTTTTTTTTTAAACGAAACTTTCTCTGCGCTTTATTATGTACAATTTGATTAATGTTTTTTTTTTCTATTCAATATTCAAAAACCACATCATTTGTCAGCTTAATTGACTATTTTTTAGAGCTTCTCAGAAATCTTTTTTGAACACTTAAAGCAATTAATTAAAGACTTAGCATATAGTGCAGCTATAGATTGCTTATACTTTTGAATTCATTATTTATTTCTAATGTATGTCCAGTGTTTTGTCACCACCAAAAAAAAAAAAACAAAAAACCAGTAGTCAAATGAGCCGTGTTTTCTCATTCTCTTCGCTTGCGCATTTTTAATAAGTGTGTTTTTGTTTAACTTTGTTAAGCAGGGACTGATAAATAAACCGGCTTTATTATCTAATCTGGGTCTTATTTAAATAAGGCAGTTGGGTTTATTTGTTTGTTTCTGTATCTCCAGGGCTGTAAAGGAGAGCAGAAAAAATGATTGGATGTGCATGGTTTATTATTGTTTTCGCAATTCCAATGCGCATTTACAATTTTATTATTTTTATTTAAACAAAAGGGAAAGCATTTGCATAGATATTTATTTATGTAGATTACACTGTCGGCTTGATGACCCCAATTAATGACCCCAATGCGCTCTCTCTCATTACAGCAAATGTGAAACATATTACATAGTGCGTGACCCCCCAAGCTTCAGAATATAGCCGAACACAATACAACAACTAATTGCTGAGCCATTGACCAACAACATTGTGCTTTATGTTTAGCCCAAAGGCAACAACAGCGACTAGCGTTCGGCATTCCGGCGTTCAATAAATTGGCTTCCCTTAACCACAACAAAAACAACAACTGTCTGAGAACAACTGAAACAAGTGATTGCCAGCGTCACAACAACACACCCCGAAAAGAGTACAAATAACGCACTTATAGTAAAGCTCACAAAAACCACAACCACAACAACAACAACAAAAAACAAAAAACAAAATGGATTTCGATCAAATTCTTGCCAAATGCGGCGATTTCCATCGTTATCAGTTCATGATACTCGCACTCTTCGGCTTTATCAACATCATCGTATCAATGGTGAGTTTGAAAAGGAAATATCCCAGTGCCAGGACCTCTTAAATGATAATTTGTTTTATGCCGCAGCACTACTTCACCCAAACTGTGATAAGTTTTGTGCCCGACCACTGGTGTTATCACGAAAAACTAGTGAATATGACTTATAAGGAAATAGCTGAGATCTACACAAATCCGAATATCACAAATCCCTCGTGCACCCGTCTTGACGACATTATTGGTCACAATGTGACTGTCAGCAACAAGACTTGCGAGAAATGGATCTATAACTATGATTTCGGCTATAGAAGCATGAACACCGAGGTGAGTGAGAACCCAGCAAAGATTACTTGTATGTACCCCTAGTTCTTAATAGAATAGCAGGGCATGGCTGTAAGAATTTTTAATTCGACGCCAAACAAGTTACAAGATTTGCTTTTACACATTTTGTTTTTTTTTATGAATGGGTTCGAAGAACTTTAGCTCGAACTTCAAGGCAACATTAATCAACCTTAACATTTGTTGTTCGTTTAGCTACAGACCTTCTACTCTAAATTGCTCGCATTTCGATGAAATAAATAAGGGACAAATAAATTAGAAAACAGCTTTTAAAGACATTGAAATTTCAAATTCACTTTTTACCAAGCCATAAATAAATCAAAGTAAAAACATTTTAGTTTTTCGATTTGTTGAAGACTGCTTAGATTTGTAATCTTTATGCAGATACTTATATCAATGTTAGTCGAAAAAGTATCCTTCAAAATAAATAAAAGAAAGAGATCAAATGATATGTGACACTAATAAATAAACAGCCTTTATGTTAAAATTAAATTCGTATCAGAATACATTATTTATCACTCTTTACGATTTCTAGCCATAAATAATATCAACTTGGTATTGAAAAGTGGACTGGATTGATAAAGAAATATGATAATTTACTATTTAAAATGTTTTACAATATTCCAAAATATTCAGAATGTTTAGTGTCGAAATGAAGGAAGAAAAAAAAAAGATTAGAAGGTAGATTACAAGTGTTCATATAATGAATAATGACATTTTACAAACAATGCTTAGCCATTGTTGTTAGAACAACCAAAAGCTATAAACTGACAATCATTTCTTGAGCACCTCATATATTGTAAAGTTAATTGATTAAAAAATGTATGTATTATAAATATTTGCTCTCTTCACAGTTAAACTGGGTCTGTGATTCAGCTTACAAGGCGCGTGTGGGACAATCCTTGTTCTTCATTGGCTCCGTTGTAGGCACCTTATTCTATGGCCTGTTGTCCGATAAAATCGGACGAGTCCCTGCACTGATATTGTCAAATTTCTGCGGCTTTGCCGGAGATTTCTCAACCATATTCACAAAGAGCGTGGCGACCTTTACGCTCTGCCGTTTCATATCGGGTCTGGCTGCCGATACCAACTTCTATCTCATGTATATTATAGGTAAGTGTCGCAAGTATAAGCCTCTGACCCGTTTAGATTTTTATTATCTTTGCTACGTTGCAGTTCTTGAATATATAAGACCCAGCATGCGCACACTTGGTCTCAATATGGCTGTGGGTCTGTTCTACTGTATGGGTCTGGTGGTGACACCCTGGCTGGCTGTGTGGGCCGGACACTGGAAGATATATTTGGCCTGCACCTCGCTGCCCATTCTGCTGGTCACCCTCTACTACTTTGTGGTGCAGGAGAGCGCCCAATGGCTGGTCACACGCAATGACATCGATGGTGCCATCAAGCGACTCAAGCGTGTGGCTAAGTTCAACGGTTGTCGTGTCACGCAGGCGGAGTTCGATGAGTTCCGGCGGCATTGCCAGATCACCAGAGAAATGCAGGGTGGCGATGATAAGAAGCATGCGACCCTGCTGGACATGTTCAGGACGCCGCGCATGCGCAAGAATACGCTTATTCTGTTCTTCAAGAGGTGAGCTTATAAGAGGGGCTTAGCCTTTATTTTGGATATAATTGAGATTTTGTCATAGGGAGAATAGCTGAGCTTTAAGTTGTGTGGGATTGATCTAAAATGAGCCTTAAATCTAATATAATTGAATGTAATATAATTGTTATTCATTATCAAGTGATATTAAGTTGATAAGTTTAATAGTCAAACGAATCCATTTAGATACATTTTTAAAAGCATGGTCAAGGGCTCCAGAATAAAAGAAACCTACCTACCAACCTATATTTCGATATGTACAATGTATAAGTTCTTCATTACTTTTCTTTATTACTTACTCTCAATCAATGCCGGGCTATATTTTATCTGACATTTTCTTAACTTATGAATGAATTAATCTTCAATCATTAATTAAATGCTTAAAAATAGGAACTACTTTTACTCGATTTAACCAAATAAGTGTAATTTATTTATAAATTAAGTATGAAGTATTAATGATAATGTTTTCAATTAAAACACTTTTCAGAGTACAAGTATGTCTAAGAATTCAAATACTAAGTTTTATGATTTTTATTTTCCAGCATGGTCATCACCCTCTGCTACGATGCGGTATCCCGAAATGTGGAGGGCATGGGCATCTCCCCCTTCGTCATGTTCTCACTGAGCGCGCTGGCCGTGTTGCCGTCGAGCATTTTGTTGGTCCTGCTACAGGATCGCATTGGACGCAAGGGCATGGCCTCAGGCTCCTTGTTGGTGGGTGGCTTGTTCACGGCAGCTGCCGGCATTGCCATTGCCTACCAGCAGCATAATCACAATGCCATATTGCTGGCCTGTCTGACGATTGCGGCGCGCTTCGGAGTGGCCATCTCGTATGAGTCGGGCAGCCAATATGCCACAGAATTAATACCCACTTGTGTGCGAGGGCAGGGCGTGGCGGCGGTGCATGTGGCTGGATTTGCGGCCTCCTTCCTGGCACCCTACATTCTATGGCTGGGCACGTTCTTCAAGGCAGCGCCCTCCATCATATTGGGTGTGCTCTTCTTTGCGGGCTCCTTTGTCTGTCTGCTGCTGCCCGAAACACTCAACAGGTAAGTGGCTTAGAACTTAAGCCAATGGATGATTCAATTAATTGTTTGGCTTTTGCAGAACGTTGCCCACCACCATTGAGGAGGGCGAAGTCTTTGGCAAGGGCGAACGTATGTTCGACTTCCCATGTCTGAAGCACCATGATGATGACGATGATGATGACGATTCGGAACTGGAGAAGTACAAGCGCAAGCATTCACTCATTGATGCCAAGCAGCAAGTCGAGTCTGGTCAGTACAACAAACGCAAGCAGTCACTGATCGATGCCGATCGCGAGGAGCAAGCCCTCAAGGATGCAAAGCATTGAGAAATGTCGTCAAATGTAAAACCCCTAGTTTATAGTTTAGTTAATCAATTTTTGTCTAGACCACACACAACTGAACTCAACACCAGAATCCAGAATGCAGAAGCAACAAGCAACAAACAAACCAACAAATCAACCCAAGCAGCAAGTTCCATTTAAATGAAACAATTCAAAACTTTTTCTCATAATATTCAACACCTTCAAAATGTGCTCAGTATGAGGTGAAGACGCCTTTTTCTATACATATTATATACATATATATATATATATAGGCTTAAGTAATTATATATTCATATATATTTATACTTGGTACGTATTTAGGGAATAACTGTAAATGCTAGCCACAAACAAGTGCATACAATATATAGTATTCGCACTGTAGAACCTTTGTTCGTTTTGTATAGAGAAACATTTTTCCTTTTCCTTTTTCCAAATTACTCGTAAAAAGTGGAGGTGTAAAGAAAGAAATCGGATAGTTAACATTTAAGCGGCACAATTTCACTTAACGATTAATGAAATACTTATGTACTATTTCTTCATAAGTAGTCCCTAGAATGTACACGATTTTGATTTGATGCAAAACTACGCTAAACTCTAATACAAAATTACTGATAATAATTAAAGAAATAGGAAAAAATACATAACTACAAAATGATGAGAATGGTGTAATCTCTTTAAAGAATTAACATTTTCTAATTAAATTGGTTATGGTTTGTTGTTTTTCTACAAAGTGTTGGCATACTTTTAGGAGCTGTTGGTGGAAACAGTGACTATCGATAGTAGACAATTATCGATACATACTACTATTGCTGTTTGTGATGAGAGATTAATACTTATTTGGTCTCGGAAATTATTACATTTTGAAAAGTTGGAACAGGTTTAGTGATGTGTTGATGTATTGTTGTTTTTAAAAATTTGCTTTTAGCTGAAATGCAGCTCCGTAAGCGATTTAATAACATATGTAAAAAGCCATGGTTATTATAATTCTTCCAATCGTTAATTAAACCATCTTCGTTCGTTGGGGAAACAAGCTGTCCCCCGTGTACTTACAAACTCATCGCTTATCCCAAAACCCCAAAGCTGGCAATAAATCTTCAGATGGTACAGAAAATTTATGGTGTGGAAAATTTAGCTTATGTTCCTATAAAATGTTTAAAGCTATATGTGCTACGATAACACAAAGCTAGAAAACGATTACCAAGTTATTGTGTTGAAGTAGAGTAGCTTATGAGGCATTTTGGTTGTTTAAATGCATTAGACTGATGCAATCCTTAGATCAGATATTCCTAAGCATTGCATGGAAACGTGCTGGAATAAAAGTTTCATATTTTCGCTCAAAGTCAAAGTCTCATTCTCTTTCGTAAGTTCTCCATAAGTTCTGTTTAGTGGATCTATACTATAATCTCTCGGAAGTTCTTTTCTACTCTGTATTATAAATTTGTTATTACACACTGTTGAATTTCTTTAGACTTTTATTCATATTTATTTAGATTTAAATTAAGAGTGGAATACAAAGTTTAGCATGATCAGTATATAGGATTAATATATGTATATATGTATAACGGTAACGCTTTAATTACTATGCATTCTCTACATGAGTAATTTGTATCAGACCATTGAGTTACAAGAACTAACTTGAAGTTAAGCTCATCATCAGTTTTCATATCAGGTTCATTTGTTTCAGTTTTAGTTTTAGTTTCAGGTTGTGGTGGTTCTGGTCAACAGACCCTCTGGGTTTCAGACTTATCAATAAAATTCGCATTCTTTGTCAAGCTCTCGCGACGTTTCCCTAAACACGGAAAATAGGACCAACGCTCATTGAAAGCAAATCGTTCGCCATCGGCTAGAGTTTCCGGCAGCTTCCTAAAAAGATAAGAAATTCATTTCGTATTTAAATAGATCTTCATTCCTCCAAGATAATTTCCCCACTTACTTGTGTAAAGTTTCCGGCAGCGTTAGACACAACAAAGCACCTATGATCAGCAAGCAGCTGATGAATAATGATGGCAACGGCTTATAGAACTTGGCCAAGTAGATGACATAGAAGGCTAGTGAGCTGGAGGCCAAGCCCACGACATGCACATTCGACACGGCACGTCCACGTACGCTGGTCGGTATTATTTCGGCGGCATATTGAATTTCGGCATCGTAGGAAACCGTCACACCATAACGGCCTAGTGCCACCATAATGGCCAGCAGCACGGCATTCTCCTTGGGATCGAGAATGGCAATGAGGAAGCCCGTCACTGCGGTGATGATTCCACCGGTCAAGAGTGAGGCGCAGGCCATGCCCTTGCGTCCGATTATATTCTGAAGTAGGAGAATTGTGCAGCCTGCCGGCAAATAAACCACAGAAGTCATCGAGAAGAGCTTGAAGGGTGAGGTGCCCAGACCCTCCAGATTACGACTGATGACATCGTACGAGAGTGTGATGATGACGCTATAAATAAAAATATTAATTGAAATATAATTTAAGATAGTTGTTAAGTGTTGTTGCTATCTCGTCTTACTTGAATCTCGTTTTACATACTTATGAATAAAAAGTGTTTCAACTTCAAGTTTGTAAAGACCTTTATACGAACGATAGGGATTCATCATATTATTCAAAAAAGTTCTTCACAAACATTCTATCATTTCTCTTCCTTCAGGTAAATGTTATAAATATTTACGCAAAGGCAATGACATTTCTACAATTCCTTCAAGAAGGCAAGAAAAATAAATGATAAGATAATGGTGTAATTTGCATCTCATCAATGTGTTTAGTTTTTTTTTTTTAACAGCTTCTTGAATCTTGGCAATAATTTCCGACCCTTTACAGAATTTACTTAGAGCACAATTAATTTTAAAATAATTGTTGGTTTCAACGCCAGTCAAGGTTAACACTTTTTAAAATTGGTAGAATAACTTACGATTTAATGAGGAGCGTCAGCGTGAAGCGTCGCAGTCTTGGCGTTCTAAACATGCCCATGAATGTGTCCTCTTGGGGACACAGTTTCTGCTCCTCATTAGCCTTCTCGCGGTAATGTTTGACGAACTCATCGAATACAGAGTCCTCCACTTGGCGGCCATTGAATTTGGCCACCCGTTTCAAACACTTAACGGCCCGATCGTATTTTTGTTTGGTCAACAGCCACTGAGCACTCTCGCATATGAAAACAGGATAGAGCATAATACCCAGGGTTGGGAGAGAGGCTAGCCAGAGGTACTGACGCCAATTACCAATCCAAATAGCGCACCAGGGTGAAGTGATCAGACCAAAGCCATAGAAGGTTGCAAGTATGATGTTAAGCCCGAAGGTGCGACGCTTGGGACTGAGGTACTCAAATACTGCAAAACAGCTTCAATGAATGTGCGGATCGGCAGGACAAATCTGTATTATTTGCTTACCCAAAATGTACATTAAATAGTACATGGTATCGGTAGACAGGCCCGACACAAATCTCGAGAAGGCAAACCAAGGTAGCGTATGGACAAAGGAGGTCATAAAATCACCGGAAGCTCCAGCTAAGGATGTCATTAGCATGGCAGGCAAGCGTCCGATGTGATCCGATAGGAAGCCAAAAGTTATAGTCCCCAGAACAGAGCCCATGAAGAAAAAGGACTGGCCCACAGCGGGTTGAAAGGACTTGTCGCACACCCATTTGAGCTAAGACCAAAGGAAGCCGTTCAGCGTTCATCCACTACTCCTTCATTTTCAAAGCTTTTAAGCTCACCTCCGTTGTAATGCTCTCATAACCATTTTCACGATCAAAGATCCAATCGTTGCAGCGCCCCACATCCGCCACAACTGCTGAGCCATTGATAACATCGTCCAGAAGGGTGCAGGAGGGTTGGGATATATTTGCATAGACATCTCTCACCTCGGCCAGACTCAGATTACTGAGTTTATCGTGTGAGCACCTTTTGGAAGTACCAGAAAGTCTTGATAATATTCAAAGCATACGAGTATGATGACTTACCAATGCTCTGGCGTAAAGGTAATTAGGGTTTGTGAAAAGTAATGCAAGGAACTTATTATGTTTGTATAGCCATATAGAAGCAGTAACACGATTTGAAAGCGATTGAAATTTCCGCACTTCTCGAGCACACGATCGAAATCCATATTGAAGACTTTCTTTGGAATTACCCTAAGCGCAACTTTTGGGCAGAGAAAACACGCAAAGCACTTTCAAAACTCAGTCCTGCTCGCTCAGCTACATACTCGAACCGAAAACACTTTGACTTGATCGGTAACCAGCCTCCTGTTGCTGCTTAGACGCGTAGAGTTTTGATGTTCGGACCTCAGTGATACCTCTATATATAGTACAGTTAGCTTAGGAAATTGACTCTGCTTATCTCAGCCTTATAATTATACGTAAATCCTATGTCAAATAGATGCTACGCCCGAACATCTCAGCAATTTTGTCGCTACCGACTGGTATTTGTTCTAGAAAGGCGTTTCTAGTTGAAGGTCCCAGCCAGATTTCGGTAGCAGTGACCGTTTCTGAGTTGAAAAACTAGCATCGTGGGGGGCCGGGCCCGCTTAAGGGTCTTAAGGGGGCTTATGCGAAACGTCAAACCGAGTGGGCGTCTTCTGCGCACATTTGTTGCCAACGCCTTATCAGACATTTAACTTTACTTTCGGCGAAACACAGCTACTTACCCACATAATTGCCCGGATTTGAAAAATATGTACTCAGTCTTAGGTTTATAATACACAATCGTAGAGTTAGCTGCTGTAACTCACGCCTTACGTGCGCGTTCGACTTTTTCGCTTTCTACTTTCTGCTTTGTTCTGTTGTCGGGATTTGTCGCACCCAAATCTTTATTGAATAGCTTAGGTACATAGTATAGATTAGGTATACAGGTTGGCATTACAGCTGGCCGAGATGGCTTTTGCCAAACTCAACTCAAAAACAAAATAAAGCACTCAGACTGAACAGTAAAAGTTCCGGAACCATAAGCGCAATCCTCATATCATAAAGCCCCGGAACCACTCGCGTGATCATTATATCATATCATATTTTAGTCTAGGCAACTATAAGGTTGCTGTCAACAATTGTGATATATAAGCAAAGTATAAGGTTTATATAGAAGATTCTCGGGATAGCTCAACAATATTTGCGTTTGGGTAGTTGCATAATATTAAAAATGTGCTACAAGAACTATTGCCGGTACTATATAGGCTGAGGAGAGATCTGACAATTTTGAAAAAAAAAACATAATAAATAATGTAAATGAATTTTAAAAAATAATAATTGTATAAAAAATAATCAAAGGAATATTAGCAAGAGTTTCAAGAACATCGCTTATTAGGTCGGAATAAGTGTACTATTCGAAAAATCATAAATCAGCCGTTTTAGGTGTTCTTTTTTTTTATTAAGTTATCATTAATTTTACAATATTTGTTGATTGCGTTGTTCAAGTGAAACTCAAATTAATATTAAAATTTCCAATCCTGATTCCTGACTGTTATGCCGCAAGCACAGGAAACAAATATCATAACAGTCACACAGCTGCTTAACAGCTGTTCAATCACACCATCATTCACAATATAAAGGGCATTCGAAGCAGTTTCCACAGTCACAATAGTAGTGTCAGTTACAGCTGTGATTTTAACAGAAGTCTCAGTAATCTTGGTAATTTATAATCTGAATAACCATACATATATATGTATATTATTTCATTTCGATCATTTCTGAGAACAAAACAAGATTACGTCTAATTAAAAGTTAATAAAATAAGATAATTCTTTGGAACATTATAAACAGAAATGAAGCTTAATGAAAAATAATGTAGTAACATAGTCACCGTTGTGGACGCTCGTCAACAATATAGGGGGATTTAGCTATACTTATAGTTCAATGATCGGCTAGAGGAATCTTAAAAAATGTACCACAATACAGACTAGTGAGACGCAGTTGCTGTTGTGTTTCAGTGATGCTCTCAAAAATTATAAATAATTTTCACTTTTAACTTAACCTTTATTTTTCATAATATTATACAAAACTTTTGTGAGATTGTCAATAAGGCCAGCCTTAGTTGAGTCAATATTTATCATCTTTAAAAGGTAAAAGTATTAAACTTGTTTAACTCATTATTGCCACTTTTGCTTGCACTTGAGATAATAATGGTGGACACAGCAGCTGTTGGGAATTGCTCTTCCTTCTGCCGTCGTCTGCGGCTGAAGCAGGAGAAGAAAAACCATTTCTCCCCAATGCCAAAGATTTCGCCATCAGCTACAGTCTGCGGCAGCTTCCTATAAGTTAAACACATAATATTTCTATAATTGTAATTTAAAATACAATATTTCCACTCACTTGTTTTGAGTTTCGGGGAGTGTCAGGCACAGGGCCGCCCCAATAAGCATCAGCACACTGATGAAGAGCGCTGGAAGGGGCTTATAAAAGGTACCCAAATAAATAATGTACGAGCTGCAGAAACCAAATCCATATCCTATGACATGTATGTTGGCCACGCCACGTCCACGCACACTTGTCGGTATGATTTCGGCAGCGTACTGGGCCTCGGCATCGTACGCAACTGTAGCCCCGTAGCGAGCCAGACCTACCATGAAGGCCATAAGAATGGCATTCTCTGCGGGATCCAAGGTGGCCAACAAATAGCCTGTGACGGCAGTAATAATGCCTCCAAAAAACAGGGAGGCACAGGCCATGCCTTTGCGTCCAATGTAATTTTGGAAGAGTATAATGGTCAGACCCGAAGGTAGATGTGCAATGCCTGTGTAGGAGAAGAGCTTAAAGGGTGAGGTGCCAATACCCTCCATGTTTCGACTGATAATGTCAAAGGCCACGGTAATGATTATGCTGTGAATAATAGTTATAAGTCAAATAATCATCGATAGTTACATTATTTTTATAGGTAGCTTACGATTTGATCAGCAGTATTATTGTAAACTTGCGCATGCGTGGAGTTCTGAACATGTCCATAAAAGTGTCCTTTTGAGTATTGAATTTTGCCTGCTCCATCGTTTTGTTTCGATAAAAGTCCTTGAATTCCTCAAACACCGACTCATCGACCTGTCTTCTATTGATCTTGGCGATGCGTCGCAGACAATTTGCAGCTTTGTCGTATCTTTGCTTGGTCAACAGCCACTCGGCGCTCTCGAAGACTAGACAGGGATAAGCTAGCACTACTAGGGCGGGCAGTGAGGCCACCCAGAGATAATGGCGCCAAGTGCCAACCCATATGGCCAACCAGGGAGAAATCATCAGCGTCAAGGTATAGAAGACGGCCGATACGATATTGAGGCCAAAGGTGCGACGTTTCGGGCTCAGATACTCGAAAACTGAAAGCAATTTGAATATTATGTTGTGTGGATTTATTAATGTACAAGTATTGAGTACTTACCCAATATAAACATCAACATATAGACCGTATCTGTGGAAAAGCCAGATATAAAGCGGCCCAATGAGAAGAGCTGCAAATTGTTCACGAATGAGGTGATAAAATCGCCAGTCGCCCCCATTAGGGTGGTCAACACACAAGCAGGCAAACGTCCAAATCTATCGGCCACATAGCCAACGGATATAGTACCGACCACTGAGCCCAAAAAGAAGAACGATTGACCCACGGCCAGCTTGTAAGCATCGTCACACACCCAATTCAGCTGTGTACACATAAATGGGGGAAGCGAGTGTAAGTTAAGGCCCACAAAGTCCACAAAATCCTCTTTTTACCTCAGTTGTTACGCTCTCATAACCGCTCTCTCGTTCGTACTCCCAGGCCTGGCACTTCGCTGCCATGTTAAGCTCTCCAGTATTTTCATTTAGCTCGATAAAGCTGCATCTTGAGAGCGTGTTGTTGTGGAAGATTTGAAGTCCATTTGATGCTATTTCGGGTTGGACGCAACTGTATTCAAAGAGTTAAAGAAATTAATGAAATGGGTGCTTTAAAAACTAATTTCATGTTTTTTAACAAATGTAAAACCTATTCTTAATTAATTACAGCATTAGATATAAAATCGATCTAGAATCTGACCAAATCTGTGCATTTTAAATTTTAAAGTGGGAATGAAACGAAACGAAGAAACAAAAACCTTACAAAACACTTATTTGCAAAAGGCCACATTTGATATGAGATCCCATTCGCATTTGAGAGTTAAGAGTAGATCCACAACAATATTTTAGACTCATTATTTTAAAAAATATTTAAATTCAAAATCACAGAAATACATTTTTTTACAAGGGCTTTGTTGTGATGGAATGGCTATAAGTGGGTTGGTTTATATAATTATAGTAATATGTCTGGTGATTGCAGCTGTGCAAGCATAAGTTAATGTCTTTCCGTGTTTCTTTTATGCAACAAAAAAGAGAATCCCTTTCAAAAAATCATCAAAATACGGAATGAGGATAAAGCGGTAAGTAAGGAGAATTACAGTACAAGTATCTTAATTTTATGTTGAACGCATCCATAATTGGAGGAAAGACTCATTGCTGTTCTTTTCAAATATTTGAGAGCTTTCATGGCATCACAAAATTTAATTTGTTTTTTTTTCCATCATATTTCAAACAAGACACTTGAAGCGTTTTCTTAATAATATACGTATTTTGTTTAGCGCTCACCTGTGCTTTGGCGTAAAACTGATGATGGTTTGTGCAAAGTAATGCAACGAGGACAGTATATTTGAGCAGCTAAATAGGATCAGCAGTAATATCTGATAGCGCCCGAAGCTGCCACACTTATCCATAACCTGCTCGAAATCCATTCTGTCGCACAATTTCTCACCAGAAAGCCAGCCAGTTCTAAACGCACCGATGCTCACATCGCTTGGAATGCGACTGGCGAAAAGATTTGATAGCCACTTCCTTTTATCTGTTCCTCGGATGATTCCTATAGCAATTTCTTTGTTCAAATAGCGTCTGCTGCTAAAGTAAATAATGGTCGGGCGTCATGCATTTTTGATACTACTTAGGAAACGCCAAAACAAACGTCTAAATGAACTTACTGGGTGGAAGCATTTTTTAGACCTTTTGTTTTGTTTTTTATCTTGATGACATAGTCTTAAGGTTTTACTGCTCGGTTGTTTGAGTACAGCCTAGTTGCTCCATAAAACTACTATATATTATGAATAATGCGGCTAAGGTTTTAATGTCAACTCATTCTGAATTCATAAAGCTCTACTTAATCCTAGAAATGGGCGTCAGAATGAATGAGTCCTCAAAAACTGTTGCACTGCTAAGACCCCATTCGCTTTTTGTAATAAAGCTTAATAATTGTAATAATCTTTTATTACCAAAACATACTTGTATGATCTTTTGAGTTCATCTCTTGCGAAATTATTAATTTCATGGTTAAATTATTAATTGAATGATGAAATGTTTCGAATAATTCAGTAGACATATTTATACTCTATATATGTGTGTAACATAATAGCAGGCTTGGCAGACCCTCTCAAAAGTATAAACTTATACTCTTGGGCAGTATCCGCTGTCTATTCTGGTTGTTCATCTGTAGGAACAAAAGCATGTAGGGTATTCATATTTTCCTAACTCCTAGGCAGATCAAGTTTATATTTATTTCTTTTGTTTATTTCATCTAAAGAGAAATGTAAAAATGTGTTCCAATATCATAAATAATAACGTCAGCTAATAAGCAAAGAATAAAAATTAAAAAATGAAAGCATAAAGGAACTCTTTTAATTTAATTTAATATTTTCATGCTCCGAATTTTTATTATATTTTCGCTTTGATGGAAACGTACGAAAATGTTGCCTTTTTAAAAATAGAGGATTTATATCTTACTTTATATCTGGCTCTGGTTGTTTCAAACATTAATAAACATTTATTAATGAATTGGTTACTAATAAAACAGCTTCATCTAAACTACTGTCTACAATATTATACAACAACTTGTGAGAGATTGTAAACAAGGTAAATATTTATCATTGATAAATAGTTGTATTTATTTAGCTTAAGGTTTGCTGGCACTCGAGATAACAATGGTAGACACAGCAGCTGTTGGGAATTGCGCTTCCTTCTTCCGTCGTTTCCTTTCGAAGCAGGGGAAGTAGAACCATTTCTCCCCAATGCCGAAGGTTTCGCCCTCCGCTACAGTCTGCGGCAGCTTTCTAAGAGATAAAATATATTATATTTCTATAATTGCAATTTAAAATTCAATATTCCCACTCACTTGTTTAGAGTTTCGGGAAGTGCCAGGCACAGGGCCGCCCCAATAAGCATCAGCACACTGATGAAGAGCGCTGGAAGGGGCTTATAAAAGGTGCCCAAATAAATAATGTACGAGCTGAAGAAACCAAATCCATATCCCACAACATGTATGTTGGCCACGCCACGTCCACGCACACTTGTCGGTATGATTTCGGCAGCATACTGGGCCTCGGCATCATAAGCTACCACGGCCCCGAAGCGCCCCAGACCCACCATGAAGGCCAAGAGTACGGCATGCTGCGTCGGATCCAAGGTGGCCACCAAATAGCCTGTGGCGGCAGTAATGATGCCACCTATAAGCAGAGAGGCGAAGGCCATGCCCTTGCGACCAATGAAGTTTTGAAAGAATATTATTGTGAGGCCGGCAGGCAAATAGGTAATGCTTGTGTAGGAGAAGAGTTTGAAGGGAGAAGTGCCAACGCCCTCCATGTTTCGACTGACAATGTCAAAGGCAACGGTGATGATCATGCTTCGAATTAAAATATATACAAGTATATCGATAGATACAAATTTTTGAAGTGTAGCTTTAGTTGAACTCACGATTTGATGAGCAGTATTATTGTAAACTTGCGCATGCGTGGAGTTCTGAACATGTCCATAAAAGTGTCCATTTGAGTATTGAATTTGGACTGCTCCATCGTTTTGTTTCGATAAAACTCCTTAAACTCCTCAAACACCGACTCGTCAACCTGTCTTCCATTGATCTTGGCGATGCGTCGCAGACAATTTGCAGCTTTGTCGTATCTTTGCTTGGTCAACAGCCACTCGGCGCTCTCGAAGAGCAGACATGGATAGCAGAGCACTCCTAGCGCGGGCAGTGAGGCCACCCAGAGATAATGGCGCCAAGTGCCAACCCATATGGCCAACCAGGGAGAAGCAATGAGCGCCATGCAGTAGAAGACGGCTACCACGATATTAAGGCCAAAGGTGCGACGTTTCGGGCTGAGATACTCAAAAACTGTGAGCATATTTAATGGATTTCATTAACTGGCTTTGCTCTTAGGGGTATTCAGTACTCACCCAATATGAACATTAAATAATAGACCGTATCTGTGGATAAACCAGATATGAAGCGGCCCATTGAAAAGAGCGGCAAATTGCTCACGAATGAGGTTATAAAATCGCCAGTAGCTCCCGTTAAGGTGGTCAACACACAAGCAGGCAAACGTCCAATTCTATCGGCCAGATAACCAAAGAATATAGTACCGACGACAGAGCCCACAAAGAAGAAGGATTGACCCACGGCCAGCTTGTAAGCATCGTCACACACCCAATTCAGCTGTGTACACATAAATGGGGGACGCGATTGTGAACTATTGAGCGATGGCGGGCAAAAGTCGTCACATACTTTTAGGCCGAGAACTTACCTCAGTTGTTACGCTCTCATAACCGCTCTCTCGTTCGTATTTCCAGGCCTGGCATCTCGCCTCCTTATTAATCTCCCCAGTATTCTCATTGAGCTCGATGAAGCTGCATCTTGAGCGCGTGTTGTTGTGGAAGATTTGAAGCCCATTTGATGCTAATTCGGGTTGGACGCAACTGGATTAGAGGAGTTGAAGTTTTTTGATTAAAACCATATTTTAAAAAGCATTAATAATATTACAAGCGAAAGCTACTATTGTAATGTAATTTTCATCATTAATAATTGAATTTTAAGCAACAAATTTAAGAAGATAGTGCATATAATTAAAACATGCAATACTTTGGAAGCATACATTATTGTCGACGATATGTAGAATATAAGGAATATAGGCAATGAGTGCAATAGAAGTCAAAAGCAGAACCTTTTTGCTTATGAAATATAATAAAAGTCTCATTAAAAGGCCTGTTTTGTGGTTCACGACGAAGAATGTAAGCAGAAGCATGTTCAAAATACTATTTGAGCTTTGATTTTATTAGAAAAACGTCCTTCGATATGCAAAGAAAAAAACTAAATAATTTTAATTCAATTTATTTAACGTGCGTGCTTTGATGTAGTCCCGTAGGTCTAGTTCATACTGTGCTTGTTCATAACTCATTCCACAAGCTGTTATCAAATGTCTAAGTGCAGATTTCAATCTTATCACAAAATTTAATGCAGCTTGCTCTTGTTTTTATCATATTATAAATTTAAGTTGTTTCCTGCTTGTAAAGTTATATTTTACAGATTTTATTTAGTACTCACCTGTGCTCCGGCGTAAAACTGATGATGGTTTGTGCAAAATAATGGAATGATGACAATATATTTGTGTAGCCATATAGGATCAGCAGTAATATCTGATAGCGACCGAAGCTGCCACACGTATCCAGCACCTGCTCGAAATCCATTCTGTCGCACAATTTCTCACCCGAAAGCTAACCAGTTCTGAATGCACCGATGCTCACATCGCTCGGCCTGCGACTGTTAAAAAAATTGTTGAGCAGTTCCCTATATCTGAATCTAAGTGGATTCCTATATCAATTTCCTTGGGTAAATAGCGTCTATGGCCAGCCAGAGACAAAGGCAAGGTAAACAATCAACTGCCTACTGGGAGGCGTCTGTGCATTTTGGAGACGTCTGTTTACGGCCGAGACGCTACTTAGACGATGGCAATACAAATGTCAAGAGCAGCATGCTGGGGGCCTTCAAATGGCAAGATTTTAAAGCATATTTTTATCTTGATGACATAGTCTTTAAGTTTTATTGCTCGGTTGTCTGAATAGAGTGTATTCACTCGTATTAAACTACTATATATTTTGGATAGCGAACTTGAAGTTTAGAGCGCCAATTTATTTGGATTTCGTATATCGATATTTCTCACTAAGGATTAGCTTATGCTAGACATGGACGTTTTTAAATAATATTCTAAAAAGCATCAGTAAGGTTATATGATGTTGGATGCGTTTAGAAAATTCTCGAACTAAGGCGAATTGGAAAATGATTTATTTGATAAAAGTTTTAAAATGTTAAGATTGTTACGACGCCCAGGTGACCGTCACAAAGTGTTGGCATCAAGGAGTAGGATTGTAAGGATAGTGTGTAAGTAGAATTGGGTATAAAATGGACTTGTTAGCTCATTTCTGAGCTGCAGGGAGGAATGCTGACTGTGGACGCATTACTTTAGATCCACACTAATCTGCTTCTTGACGCAATCTGAATGGCTCTTTCCAAAGAAAGGCTTCCCAACATAGGAGAGCATACCCTGGCCGGAGCATCGTTGCAGCATCTAATAACGCCTTTTCTAAAAAACTTGCCCCTACTGTATTTATTTTCAATAATTAAATAATAATAAATCTGTCGTTAAGGCATTTTATGCCAATTTTCTTGAAAAAGCGACCACTAATAATAATTATATTTTATTAATATTAAGTAACCATAAAGGTTTGTAGTAAATACAAAATTTACGTTTTGCCACATCTTTGGAAATAAGCTTACAATTAATTACATTTATTTACATTATCTATAAAACAAATATCACCAACGAAGTAACAAAAGAAAATAAGTAGAATGCAATTCTGAAGATGTTGTTTTTAAAAGTAAGCCGCCGAATCGACAGAATTGGAATGTGATTTCATTGTAGAATTCTGCGTGGCTAATGCAGCCACTGACTGAGTCCGCTTCTCCATAAAACTGAACGTGTACCATTTCTCATTTTTGCCAAACTTCTCGCCATCCTCCAAGGACGTGGGCAGAGTCCGATGCAGTGTCTCTGGCAGCAGCAGACACAGGCCTGCGCCCAGCAGTGAAATGAAGCCCAGAATAATTTCGGGCAGTGGTGAAAATATAGTCCGGGTGTACAAAATGAAGGCGCTGAAGAATGTGAAGGCATAGCCCATGACATGGACAGCACCCACGCCCTGACCCCTCACACAAGTGGGAATCAGCTCGGTGGCGTACTGAGCGGCCGAGTTGTAGGCGACCGTAATGCCAAAACGACCGATAACCGAGAGTGTGACGAGCAAGGTGGCACCTGGAAAGTGAAAAGTTACAAATATGTAGAACTAAACTTATTTAGGAAAATATATAGGAGGAAAATATATAGAGGGACTAGGGAAAGCAAATACAACGGAACCAAAGCTTTAAAGTCTTATTGTCTTATTTAGAGCTGCGTTTGTTTTAAAATAAAACAACTCACAATATATTGGTTTCAAATGTGTTTATCTGTTGATAGGTAATTTTCTTATTTTTTTTTTTGTCTTAAAAAAGTTCTTAGTTTTATTACTTTTTAAAAGTATTTAATTTATTTCTTACAAATTTAAAGAAAATCACTTGATTCCATTTGATAAATTTTGAAAAACTAAATCTTGCTTGAGTTTTATTTAAAATTTAATTAATTGATTATGTAAGCTAGACATTTTAATATCTGAATAGAAATGTGAACTTATAATTGAATTAATTTTTCTTACAAATTTTAACATTCCATTAAAAAGATAGCATTACTAAATTGCTTGAATTTTGTTAAAAATCTTGAATTCGTTTATTTGAACCTTCGAAAATAGTCGTAAGCCATCGAAACAAAAATATTTTATTATGGAAAAGTCTAGAGAAAATTGATTAAAAAATAGGTTACAATAATTTCGTACAACATTTTTGGATACTTAGTATAGCCTAAGGGAAAATGTTGTGATTTGTTGCAATTGCAAAAAAAAGTGAAAAAGTTAGCAGACTTTTAAAGATGTAATTGAAAACAGATTTGATTTCAGAGTATTTTTATCAGTCGTGGTCCAAATACCAAAAAAAAATCCAATATAGAATATCATCAAAAAAATCGACTCATATACTACTCAAATACTTAATGATCTGAATTTTATTTACAAAAATATTAAAGAAATTACTTTTAATTAATTCGACTCAAAGAAGGAGAATAATATTTATGAAATATCAAAGAACGTGGAATGAGAACCATAATTGATATTAAACCAAAATCTTGCACATCAGTAAACACTTCAAAGATCTTGTATTATAATAACTACTTGTAGTTTAGTAACTGTTCGACTTACTGCGTTCTGCGCTGGAGGCAACAGCAAAGAGTATGGCGCCCGTCACCGAAATGAAAATGCCACTCAACAGCAACGAAATGGAAGCCATTGCCTTGCGTCCGATCCGATCTTGCAGCAGAATTATTACCAGGCAGGCAGGCAGTATGGTCGTGGCGCTCAGCGTGAACATGACGAACGGCGAAATGCCAAGACCTTGGACATTGCGGGAGACGGCATCGTAGCAGAGTGTAATAACCATGCTGAGTGGGTTGGGTGGATAATTAGTGGAGCATTTGTAATCGATTTGGGGGGGCACTCACGACTTGAAGAATAAAATTAACGTGTTGCGGCGCAGGCGCGGCGTCTTGAAGAGGTCCAGCAGGTTGGGTGCCACCTTCAGGTGCTGTTGACTGAACTTGCATTCCTCAATAAACTCCTGGTAGGCGCTCTCCTCCACCTGGCGCCCATTGATGCGGGCCACTCGCTTGAGGCAGGCCACAGCCTTCTCGTACTCCTGCTTCGAGATCAGCCACTGAACGCTCTCAGGCACAATGAAATAGAAGAGCGGCACCAGGGCAAAGGGCAGCGAAGTGGCGATCAAGAAACCACGCCAGGTGCGGGCCAGCACCGCGATCCAGGGTGCGCCCATGGACCCCACACAATAGAAGATGCCAATACAAATGCTGAGGCCTACAGTGCGCAGCGAGGGACGCATGTATTCCATGACTACAAGTAGGTAGGAAAGAAAGGAATAATTTGAATTTAAATTGCATTTTGTAGTGGAACTTGTTTCTCCATAGGATGGTGGCTTCTATTATCACCAGTTTTGGATTTGAAACTGTGTTTATTTAAATTTGAAATGCATTTGAAAGCTAAAATATCAAAGAATGTGGGAATTGCATGCAGTCTTGCAATCAAAATAGGCCATTCATTATATTCTATTATACGGTTTTGGGGTTGAAATGTTTATCAAACGTTAATTGTAATCACATTTCAATGAGAAACTCTTTATATTTAAATTTGAAATGCATTTGAAAGCTAAAATATCAAATAACCTGAAATTCAATATATTCAGAATTCGCTCATAATCTGTTAAAAGGATATCTCGGATGTAGCTGTCATCAGTTCCAACCGGATAGCAGAATTCTTTAGAGTATTTGCTTGAAAACCCCCCCCTTCATGACTTAAGACTAACCGGGGAAAAGGGGGATAAAGGAAAAGGTGTCCTATTGAGTGGGGTTTTAAAACATTCTCAAGTCAACATAAAACCAGAAGATTTGATTCAGCTTCCTGCCACTTTACTCACCCAATATGTACATCATTACAAAATTGCTGTCTGTGGCAAAGCCCGATATTAAGCGGAAGAGGCAGAAGAGGGGCAAGGTGGTGCCGAAGATGGTCAGCATGTTGCCCCCCATGGCTATCACATTGGCCACAATCAGGATGGGTAAGCGTCCGACTCTATCGGCCAGATAGCCCAGCAATAATGTGCCAACCACAGAGCCGACAAAGAACATGGACTGGCCGATGGTTAGCTTCCAGGCCTGATCGCATATCCATCCCATATCGCTGGCATAGCTCTCGTAGCCCATGTAGAGTTCGTAGTCGTAGCGCTCACAACTGTCGGAGGACGTTTCGTTGTAGTCTATGGGCAGGCAGCTGGACTTTGAAGGCGCCTCCTCGGCCGAGGCCAAGCCATCGGCACACCTGTAGATGAGCGTATAGGGTGTTAGGAAATTGGAATGGGCTTGCGGTGAAGCACTACTTACCAATATTTGGGTAAAAATGTGATGATTGTCTGCGAATAGTAGTGCATGGCAGACAGCACGTTGATGAAGCTGAATAGGAAGAGCATCAGGAACTGCAACCGATTGCAGTCCCCGCACTTCTCCAGTATTTTGTTGACCTCCAGCATGGTGTTCTTTCGTTCGCGGGCCACCACTTGCATTCACCGCCGGGGTATCCTTTGCCGCAATCTGCCAAAGGGAAAGTCTAGTGTTAGTGGCAGTCCACTGCTACGGGTACGTCCGAGTCGGACAATGGGTTGCTGTCTCTTGAGGCCGGGCCTGTAGCTGCAATTGCTCATCCTGCACATTGCGCGGCATTTAATTTGCTTAATTGCGCTGCCCCTTGCTTAATTACTTAAGCAATTAGTGAGCTGGCCGCCTCGGAGACTCAAAGTCTGCACAGTACACCAGAACTGTGTGTTCCTCTGTTTCTGAGCTTATTTAAGTTTCAATCTAAATTGTGTTTGACAGCTTCAGTTTTAAGAGTCTACGTCTGAGATTTCTCGCATACGCGCATAATGAGATCGAGCGCTGCGATTTCAATTTTCCAATTACGAGCGTGTGGCGGGAGAGGAAAGCTTCGTAATTGCACAGCCGGAAAAGATTCTCTGTATTCTCCAGAAAAAGTTTGACTGGTGGAGATTTGTTATGATAAACAAAACTACGGGGCTATGTTAAGACAAAAACACTACAACTGGTTAATAAGCACAAAATATATATTTAATTTTATAAAAAAAATTAATAGTCAAATGAGTTCTTTTAAAATAATATTTAGGCTTTTTGTTGAAGTCTTGGTTTCATTTAAAAATGATTCGAAAAAAAGTTTATAAAGCTTTAGAATAAAAACCATGTACTATAATGTACCATATCTGTACCATATGAAATGATTATTTCAATATCGACGTTTTAATCATGGCAGTGGTTTATTTTCCACTGATTTGGAAAAACATTACATTTATGCCAAAAGTTGTTTGTTCTTTATTTGAGGCTTCATTCTCAAAAGTGTTTATTTAAAAAAAATCGTACATAGTAAAAGATATTTCTGTGTCTGATACATAATTTTAAAAGCATTTCAATGGACACGAAGGTCATATATGTGATAATTTTATAGAATGTAAAAATGAAATAAAACAACAAATATGAAATGTGTTTATATTCCAAATGCTATAGACCTTTCATTATCAGTCATTCGCAGCAGTTGTTTCTTTTTTTTTCATTTTGAAAAGCTTAATACGATAGAAGTTCATAAAAGAATGGTAATTTAATTCCTATATGATTGACTTCGTATGAGAAAATGTGGAAAAACGATGATTGTTTAAAACAACAAATAATTAGATAATTCTTTGCAGAGCTTTGTTAAACATTTTGCACAAAATAGGCATAGGGAATAATAGGGAATAATAATGTTATGCTTAAATTGAAAATTATGAAGCATAGCTCAGCACATGTACATTACGAGTGAAAAAAATTAAACTCAAATGTTCTTTAACTCCAAAAATATGTTTAGTGCATTGCCGCCAACGCAATTCACCTTCTTGTGCGATTCCAAAATCGTTTTGAAATACAGAGTGAAATATTCTTTCACACTTCTCTATTTTTTATATTTTTTATTAGGCAATTGTATGCGATTTATAAAATTCGAATAATTAGCTGCGTCACAAAAGGACTTTCGTGTTTATAAAAAAGTACAACTGGAAACCTTTTTTTTAACTAAGTACAAGTACAAAGGAAAGTTGACAATTTAAGTGAAATGGATATTTGGAGCTAAGTAGCTAAATATTTAAAAAGTTTCAACTAAAAACTAAGTGCTGCTGGAATCATCAAGTTATTAATAAATCACTCTGGAATGGCTTCGCCTAATTTAGTTGTTTACTTGTTTGCTGTTTCGTTTATTTCGCTTATTAACTAGCTTCGCATGTAATGAATTATTCCACTTATACAAGCAGACACACCAAAATATACACTATTTATAGTTATTTAACTATTTTGCTTTGAGTAAACATGCATGATGAAGGGTATCAAATTTCGTTTAAAGAGGAATATCAACTATTCATTTCAAAAGTCAAATAGTTAATTGGAAACCACACAAGTATTAATATTCACAAATTTAAAGGCACCATGTGTGAGCTACAGATTCACTTGAATGGCTAAAAAGCATCTTGTTGGACAGTTTTTGAGTTTCATCAAATTTCGATTAAAGAGGAATATCAACTATTCATTTCAAAAGTCAAATACCTAATTGGAAACCACACAAGTATTAATATTCACAAATTTAAAGGCACCATGTGTGAGCTACAGATTCACTTGAATGGCTCAATAGCATCGTGTTGATCAGTTTTTGAGTTTCCTTATAATGTGTTATATATTTGTACGTTCAACAGTTTTGTCAATTAAATTGTATTCTTTTTGTTTTCTTACTGTTTCTCTAGCACCGCAGCTTCTCTCTACACTTTTCTCATTGGCTATTTCATTGTAAACAAATTCAAGCACACGGAATTACAAACACAACACAGCACCGCACAATTAGAATGGTTTTCACAATTTCCTTATGGCACATGCTCTTTGCCAAAACGTGGCCGAGAGGGAGAGGCAACCTACGCGATTCTAGGGCAACTGACGACTGGTCGGTGGTTCGGAAGCCACTTGTTGTGCCACCGAGCCGCGAGGAAAGCAATGCTGGGCAATTGCTTAATTGCTAGCACACGCTCGAAATTTTGAACGATAAGAAACAGATTTTTCACAACAAAACAGCTGAGTGGCGACCCAGCGGTAATGGGCACTAAAAATCAACTGCTTTTCATGATGGTGTGGCGGTGCTGCTGGTGGTGCTATTGGTGGTGGTGGTGGTGGTGGTGGTGTGTGGCACCCAGACTCATGTCGTGCTAGGCACAAGAGTGCAGTGCCTGCCAAATTATTGGTGGAGGGGGTGCAGAGGTGGCTCTAATCCGTAGTCAGACTCACTCCGTGCCTGGCACTAGAGAGCAGTCCTCGGCAATTTTTTGTTCGTCGACTCTCAACCGCAGCGCTCGAAAGTCAAGTTCGATTTGGAGGCGAAATAAGAATGAAAATAAAATGAAAATTTTGGTTGCGCTTTGTTTGTGCTACGAAGAGATAAATATAGCTTTCGAGCATTCAGATTGTTGGCCCCCCAGTTGCGCGCGATGTCGGAGATTGGCAACATCGGCGATGATAGCGTGCAATGCAATACGTTTACAGTTATTACGGCGGCATTTGTCATTTGTTGACGTACGATGTATATATATATATATATATATAGTATACATACATACATGTATAGAAATATAGCTGGGTGGGTGGGCAGCTCGCTGATTATAGCACTTTATCCCTGGCTATTGTAAAGCTACTTATAATCGGAGGTGCAGGCCAAGTCAATGGCTTTCATTTCGCATGTCATGCCAAGTGACGAACTCAGCCCTGTGCGTGCTTCTTCATTTGCCCCTTCCCTCGCAATATCGCACTGGATTTTCTTTATTCAAATATAGGCAAATCAAGTGATACGACGCATATAGATTACTTAACAAGCCCCATAAATAAGTGTAGTGTTCCCTCCCTGCAGAAGATAAATACATATAGCAAGACAATTAACAAATAAAAGAGTATTAGGGCAGTATTATTATAGTGATTATGTTTATAATTGTAGTATTTTAGTGCTAACAATAATTATTAAAAACAATTTCTTTATGGTGAATATTTATTGTCGATTATTTCTCGACTGATAAATTCTATATTAATGAGTTCAAAATACTGATAAAGGAAGAGAAGGAGGGGTATAATGATATGAAATAGTTCCTAAACCATCGATTTTATCATTTAGTTAAGATGGTAAAAAATTTAACCATTTATTTATTTATTAGTGTATGTCATTTCTTTCTGTATTATATTTGCAGTGAAAATGTCGTTTTGTTGTGAAATATTGTTTATTAAGCTGGCCTTTCATCTTTAATTCCCTCTTTCCTTTAAATTATGATTTAGAATTAAAGGATTGTTTTACTTTTTCTGGGTCTCTTTTTGACTCTCTTGACTCTCACTATTAGAGTTTTATAAAAAAAAAAATATAAAAACTTGTAGATTTCACATTTGAACACAATAGGTTCGGCCGATAAGTACGGTGTATAATTAAAAATCAGCTCAGAAGCTTTCACTTTCAACAGATACCTAATATAATGTGAAGCCTACTAAGTTAAAGAAATAAAAGGAATTACTTAAATTTCACAACAAGAAGCTAGATTATAAAAGCTGCCACTCTCAGTGCCAACACACTATGTTGTTGATATGAAATGTTACTTAGAATTAAAACTAACACCCCATAAAGTAGATATTTAAATACCCAGTTATCAAGCCATTAAAGATTAAAGTTTGATAAAAGTGAACATGTTTGTCAAAAATACATAACGAGGTCAATGTTTCATGTTCTGACAACATTAATGTGTATTCAACACATACAACTAAAGCACTCACTAGCTATTGTAATTAAGCTAGAAAATTGTGCAATTCAGTTTATAAGTAAGCTATGATGTTAGGCATAATCCATCGATCCATAATTCCATAATTCTTTATCTAATTAGCTCTCTTCTCTGCCTGTTTGTCTGTCCCTATGAATGTGAAGGTCTTGAAAACCTTAAACCTAAAACTAACAGATACTGATAAAATCTTCTAAGCACGAAGGGCAAGCTAACAATTTGTTTGTAAAAAGATAGAAATCGGCACTACATTTTTTTACAAATTACTTAAGGTTTGAGAATAATTGGAGAATGTGTCTCTGTTTCAACTGCTTGAGTATACAAGTAGTTTGAAGGTGTTCTTTAATATTTAAATGAATTATACTTGTATTTAAAATTTAATGCTGGAAACTGTAATACTGGGCTGCCCCAACCACTGCAGAAGTCCCCAAGTCCTTAATCGAAAAAGTAACTTAGTTAAGTTGGGAAGTGTCCTTAGAGTCCTTGCATTTTCTAAAATACTTTCATTCGGTGTGTTGACATACTATATAGTATGTATTTCTTGATCGAAATATGTAGTCTCATCGATTTGGAGTGACATTTCATTTATGGATCCGAAAGGTCTTAATTTGATTTTCTTTGAAATTTTGCACATCCTGCCATAAATTGAAATTCTTTGATATTTTTTCCGTTTATGATTTATTCGCGTTATTCGTAACTTAAGCTTGGGATACAACAGCACATACTTACAAATATACATTGTAGATAAAACTTATCAGATCTTTTAAGAATAAGGCTTAAGCTTGCACATTAAACACATAATACTTGCAACATACATTCCCAATAATTAAATTCTGACATCGCAGATAGTTTCTAGAACAGCGAGAGTTTAGTCAGACAGAAAGACAGTAAGAGGGAGAATGAGAGACGAAGAGAGTGAGAGAGAGAGAACAAGTGTGAGAATGAGGGATGAGATTAGTTTATTTGCAGATGTGAAGCAGATGATAATGACAGCTAAAGTGGATCGTCGTCGTTGTCTGGAACTTGCCGAAAGAAGCCTAGTCGCGCTCATCAGTGGTGATCAGTGGTGCGGATGATGATAGTAATGGGCATGGGGGTCAGCAGCGGGCCCGGGCAAGGCGGCGGAATAATGTGCATAGGGGCTGTGGGCTAGAGCTGGGTAGGCGGCATGGAAGTGCGCCGAGGGCAGTGGAGCAGCAACGGGCACAGGCACGTGGGCTGGGGGTGCGGGTGGCGCAGGCGCACTGCGATGGTAGGCGGTCAAGGCCAAAGGATATGATAGCACTGGTGCCGGCGCCTTTGGCACTGGAGGTAAGGGCGGTGCTGGGGCTGGCGCTGGTCCTGGGCCAGGGACATGCAGCGAAAGAGCATGAGCTGGCTGTGGACGAGGCGCAGGCGCTGGAATCGGCTTATAGGCTAGCGGCTCCTTGCGCACCACCGCATTGAAGCCATGATGCGGGTCGGCGGTATAGTCCACGGTGCGTTTGGTGCCATCGGGATCGACCACAGAGTAGCTGCCCTTGACCACGTCACCGTGGCGGGTCTCGTGCTGGCTCTTCAGATCGCCGGTGTAGCCATCCTGTATGTCATAGCCAAAGGAATATTTGGGATCAGCATCGTAGGGTTCCGGAGCAGCGGGCTTGGGCGCTAGAAGGGAAAAGAAAATTCATGAAATGAAGAAGAGATTCGGTCTATACTTGTACAATAGATTTTTCCAAAAATAATGAAATGCTCGAATGGAAACCGATAGCTTCTTATATTTTAAAACCGAACAAATTCGATTCGGATACGAAAAAACTCATACAAGTAGAGCTCAGTTCTGAAGATCAAGGCCGACTCAAAACTAACATCTTCTTTTTGGGAAAAACCGACTATATTTTAAAAATTGGCTGTGGTTTGAGTACTTTTGCTTTGAAAATGAATTTCTATTGAAAAAGAGTGGATGTGTAGTGGAAAATATTATTTAACTTTTAGATAGATAATTCATTCTTTAGTAAAAAACCCATCACGCCCTAAGAATTCGATTTCAGCTGAGAAGTCGAGCAGATTTGCAGCTCCACAAAAGGCTATCCTTAGAGCAAAGTATCCTTATTCCTGTTGACTTACCAGGCGCAGCATAGGGTGCTGGTAGGGCGGCATGATGCGGTGCATAACCTCCATAATGATGCAGTGGGCCGGGTCCTGCTGGTCCGCCATAGTAGGGGCCGGGCCCAATGACTCCCGCGTACGCAATGCCGAGCACAGCGCTCAGCAAAATTATCTGCAAGCCAAGAAGTTAACACACAGTTAGCACTTTTCTCACATTCACACACACACACACACACACACACCTTTAGCATTAGCATGCTATTTAGTTGTACACGCCAATCCTTCTCGATCCAATGCTAACTCACTGGCCACCAACAGAGTGTGGCAGTAACTTGGCCAATGGAGCTCGTGCAGCACAACGATGGGCGCGCAAGTAGAAACCACGACTGCAAACAGCGTCTTGGCGTTCTGCCAATTTATAGCCAAAGCCTGCCGCCAAATGTCGCCTGCTTCACATGGCCAAAGACCAAGCGCTGAAGAGAGGCGCGCAGACCTATCGAGCCAATGCAGCCGGCGCTCTGCTCATTGCACATGGCAGCAGCCGCCACAGCAATAGCAACAAAAACAATACCTACAACTGCAGCAGCAACAACAAAAACAATACCTACAACTGCAACAGCAACAACAGCCACAGCTTCAGTTGTTGCCAACAGTATGCGTACAAATCGAAGGCAGTCTTTAGTTTGCCAGAAGAACTGTAGAGTTGGGATTAAAATAAAAAAGTGTTACCAACAGGCTTGCCCACAAATGTTCTAAATGATTCTGATTTAACATTATTCAATTATTAATAATAATAAATTATACAGAGATATTGTGAAACATTCTAGAATACAGATATGAGTTTTAATAAATGTGTTCCCATATTTGTATAAATGGAAATTGAATTGCCAATCAGTTAAAAATATTTATATTATTCACCTTTTAAAACATCATTTTTTTGTTTATTTATAGTGTTATATTTATAACCTAAATTAAACTTATAGTTTAAGGCAAATACAGTCTTAATTACAATTTAACATTTATAATTTATATAAATCTGTTGGAACATCAGGGTTGCTTTTCTAGATTATAAAAATTTGCTTTGGTTTCAATTAGAGCTGCTGGTGGTTGGAATTAAAAATGAGTTAAAATGTTTAACTTTTATTTAAAAAAAATAAAAATAAATTAAATTTTTTAAATACAACTCGATAATTCCCTTGCTTAGCTCATGAAGGGATGCCTGAAACGAAATCGAACTTTCAACTTGCGAATTGTGCTTTTAATTAATATCAGAATAGTGGTATGCAAAGGTTTTACGAATACTATTCAAAACTGCTGTAATTAACCAACAAGCGGGAATGGAAAAGTGAATAATACATTAATAACATCAATAACCAAAAAATTATTAAGCAAAACTGAACCAATATATATAATAATTCTAATTGGAAGTATTTCATTACAAAATCCCACATAATTATAGCTCTAAACAGATTCTCTAGAGGATGATAAAAGACGTCTGGCCAGAATGAACTTAAGTCACAATTTGTAGATAAATTTGTGATATTTTAGGAGTAGGGCTTAAAAAGTAAATCCAAAAGAAGTTTTTGGAGCACACAAGTATTACAGTGCCATCGATTGTTTTTCCACCTCTAACAATTATGTTTAAGTAGAGAACTATTTTGGGTATTACTTGAACTATCATGCCAGCCCAACTGTAATCAAAATAGAGGACGAAAAAATACAGCGTGTTTAATTGTAAATGTTGCATGAAGAAGCAAATGCGGTCCACTTACGTGTAGCGCTCAGTGTGCGAACAGAGTCGGCGGTTGGACGGTGCAACAGCAACCACCTGGCGGCAAGTCGTGTGATGTGTTGTTGTTGCTGTTGCCGTTTCAACTTTGGCGTCGTGTCGACTTAGAAAGGTTATTCTTCCGCTAAACCATTTAAAGGGACCCACTCGGTGCTTGCCCTTTCACTTTTCTGGCTCGCAGACCGATTTGCACAATTATGTGAAAACTTATTTCGATTCACACAATTGAAATGTTAAATTATTATCTATTAAGTGGCCTCGTTACGCGCTCGCCTCGAACTCGTCACAGTGCGGCATGGCTGTTGCAGTTGCAAGCTATTGATTTGCATTGAGTTGCATGCATAATTAGTGGCAGCAACAGCAGCAGCAGCAGCAGCAACAACAACGGCAGCCAAACGGAATGACAGGCGAGTAGTGACGATGTCGCGCATGCGCAAAAGGTCAGACAACCGCCTGCGCCAATTGAATTAAAATGCCCGTCTCTGTCTGTAAAGATCAGCCAGCCAGTAATATATATCTATACTTATATATATCCAACAAGTTGGCGAAAGGTCAACGTGCCCGTCAGCCTCAGGCCCCTGCCACACATTATTGCCGATCAGCCGATCTGCCGACCAAATAATGCCATTAATTTGATGTTCTTCGGCGCTACTCGCGCTCTTAATTTATGGCCACAAATTTGTACTGAACTCGTAATGCCACAAAAGCGTTGACAGCCAACTATTGCAATTGTTTTGCGACTCGCGGAGGCGACAAATCTAGCAACTACGAGAAGTACTTGTATATATGTTTGTATCCAAAACAGTCGTGCAGTTTAGTTGGTCGTGTCATGTTGCAGCTATTTTTAGTTTTAAGATCAAAACCATAGATCAAAATAATGTCAGGCAATGTTGTAATTTTGCAGTTAAAGATCGAGTTCGAAAAAAGAAGTTGGCATACAAGGAAGTAAGACAACTACTTACGTTACCACTCGTACATACATATTTCCAAGTGACAGTTAACGCTAATCGGTATTTTAGCAGACAGCTGGAGAGATAGGAACATGTCGGCTCACAAATGGGAAACAGTCGCTCGAGCCAAAGGTATTGCCAGAATTTAAGCTTAAGCCAAAATACAAATTATGGACTAAGCAATAAATAGGAGTAATTATAAAAGAAAACAGGAAAAACGTTAATATTAAAACTGAATAAATGTAGAAGTTGATTCAGAAATAATCAAAAATTAGCCCTGCTTTAAATTAAAATGAAAAATAGTTTTAAGTTCAATTACATTTTAAATATATATTTTAAAATATAAATGTGATGTCAAAACGGACTTTAGAACAGACCAGCATACTCACGATATAATGGAACACATATCGATAAAAGTCGTAGATAGTTAGTTAGTTGATTCAAAAGTGAACTTCAATTTTCACATCCCAACTACTCTAAACAAGGAATTTCTAGATCCTTGTCTAACTAAACGTCTGGAGACTGCTCTTGCTACTCTGTGCTGGAATACTGCTCATGCGTTTGATGTCCACAGTATATTCATGAAGTATCAGGAACATATTTGTCCAAAGGCAGTTCTTACTCGTTTCCCGGTGGCTTTTTCTCAACTTTCGTTTTCCATCCTTAGCAAGGACTGTTCTTGGTGTAGTTTTTCTGCCCAAGTTGCTTTTTGGCGATTTATACTTTCTTAGTAATTATTTTCCTTGTCTTACTTACTCGCAGCAGAACTCTCTCCCTACTCTCTCTCTCTCTCTCGCCATGTCAACAGCTCATATTTGTAAACCTAATAAAGGATAAGAAAAGCTAAGCAAAGGATAAGTCGTAGCTTTAAATGCTTAGAACAGAAAAGGATTAGTTGTAGTCGTAGCTGTAGCGTTTAATCTAACCATAAGAATCAGGGTTCTTAGGTAATCTGTTATTGTGTTCGGTTTTAATTAACTCTGGCAGCTATATCAGCTATTTATGTAAATAATTTCGTTCAATCCTCTTATTAGGCTCTGATTTTCTGCTTTCAAATGCAAATCTAGGTAAACTCCACATTTCGCATGAGCATTCAATATTAAAAATAGATTATTTCTTATTTATACTTATTTATTCAAAAAAGCACGCTGAGCGTCAAATCCACTCTAATCGCTGTTTGCACAAATACTTATTTCCCAAGTAAATCAAATGTGTTTGTACTTTTGTAAAATGTCATTTGATTGCCTTTAAAAAAAAAAACGAATTTTAATAATTATGGTCTAGGCTAATCTGCTATAAGCACAACTATATGTATTTCAAATGAGTGTTGTTTTTTAAAAACTCGCCTCAGTCTACATAGTTTGGCGCATCGGGCAAAAGCTAATTGAGAGCGCTATAATGTTTCGAGCGGCAGTTTTAGTCTATACTACGCTAATATTTAATAATATACTTCGGCAGATGTTTCGTTGCCCTCAAATGAAACGGTAGGTGATTGCAACATCAAACAGCAACATAGGTAGATTGGTTCTAGAAAAAGTCGTGTAAATAAAACCCTCTAAAAAAGACATTAAAAATACATTTAAGACCTATTAAAATCAGTGGAAAAAACAAGGATCTATGTATATTTTATTAAATCATGTCCATAACGACCCATATAAGAAGCTGTTTTTTTTTTTATTTTTCATTTTTTTGTGTTATTTTGAATCGTGCTAAATGAAATTTTTAATTTTCAAACAGTGTTAAATTAAGACCGTGTAAAAACCGAATTAGGTGTATAGATATAATGTAACTTATTTTCAGCTGTTGGTCAAGAGCATCAGCAATGATGTCCTTTCAGTGCGGTTAGTGGGGACGCGTCGGAGGTAGAATTTGAAACACATAAAGCTAAGGCACAACCAATTAAATTGCTTGCCCTTTTCAGTGCGGCAATTAATGAGCTAATGAAGGAGCGTGACAGTTCTATCCTGGTCGAGAAGTACTGTGACCAAGCTGCGCAGCCGCAGATCTACGGCCAACTCGCTTCGTAGTGGCATCTATCAGTTAAACATCCTGTGCTATAACATGCCACCATTTATGGTGGTGGAGACGCAGGGCGGCGCCTGAAATGGATTGCCTTCTTTTTTGTAGCAATTTAAACGGCCAATATTTGCATGGCGCCTACAATGAGAGCCTCTACGCCAAAGGTGTGGTTTGGCACGCATTTCGTGGACACTATTACTCATTAAAATTAGTTCAAATGATGATAAGACCGAAGAGGTCATGAAGGTCAGATATTACGCCTTTTTATCTTGGACTCAGCATTTGAGTGATGGATTAAAATTTAAATACAATAAATAAAAAAATAAAAAATAATAATAATAATACAATGAACTATAGGCTTTGGACAAGGAGTGTCCCTCTGCCTATTACATACTTTGCATGAAGCTGATATACTCTTTTTACTCTGCGGGTGTAGGGTATAATCATCGCTAGAATTCTGAGTATCGTGTATTTTGTTTTTGCATCAATCTGATTGGCTGGCGACGACTGCATGTATTTTGTTTTTGTAATCTCAACAGAATTCTCTCACGTATTTATACCCTACATAATGGGTAAAAGGGTATACTAGTTTTGTGAGAATGTATGTGACACACCGCCAACTTTTAAGAGGTTAATATGTTTATAATATAGGAATTACATAAAATACTATTAGAAAATTATAAACTTGCGAGCATTTAGTTTAAAGCATTGCTTATTGATGTCCTGCTCCCAATATAGCCAACTTTAAGTGACTTGCAAGTCCTTCATATATGATTGACTTCCACTTACTCTTTTAATCCGCGATTATCTGTACGATCTGTCATTAAAAGTCCATTACCTTAACGCAATTTATTTGGTTTTATTTATTGTATCAACTTTGCTTACTTGTCGTATGTATATGTATATATAATATGTTTTATATATATGTGTATATGCATATGTATAATTGTTTCGTTACATATATATATATATGCATGTATATGTGTGTGTATATAAACGTTGAATATGTCTTGTTGATATTAGTTAATGCATAATTCTTGCTCGATATATGTTGTATTTAGTATATGAATGATGTGTGCGATTCATTTGTGTGTGTGATCCATAGAACAATTCATGGTGAATGAAATGAATCCATTTGCTTCGATTACTACGATTATAGTCCTTAGTTTTGTAATAAACGGAATCAAAAGATAGGTACAATTGAGTTCGCTTGTGCCCAGGCGCAAGCTACTAAATTAATTTTGAAGCATTTCTCGTTAAATAATCATTGATTAATTAAAGCCTTGTGCCTAAGATTGTTACACATGTACATAGTAGTAGGGGCAGGGTAACTATCTGTTTGTGTGTAGGTGTGCACCCCTTCGTGGTTCTACATACATATGCATGTATATAGAGAACGAAACCAACGCATATTGATAATAGAAGAATGCTTAATACATACATACATATACAGTACGTACAAGTATGTATGTAATCATCCACTGTTTAGCTTAGTATAAGAAGCCAAGGTGCTTGGGTTCGGGGTGATGGTCATTTAACTAAGGGTAAAGGTTTGCCGAGTGCCGTGCTCTTAACTTTTACAATTTTGGACTCAATTTCGCTAAAGAGAGTTAGACATTTAGGTATAATTTTGTAGATTTGCTTTGTTTGTAGAAAACACTGACATGCAATTGTATTTCATATTTAGAATATTTGATATATGCTTGTGTATATACTCACTATATACTACTATACGTGTATATAGTATGTGGGTATATATTTATGCAATAATTTTACGAAATAAGGGGCTAATATAGCGCACACAATATTCCTACGATTAGTTTACGATTTTCATTTATAACTAATTAAGTTTTCGTTGATTGTTTGGCTTTGTCTTTAGTTTTATATGATTTATAAAATGCATTATCCATAATCGATAATTCATATTCCATAATCCGTATCGTAGACAACCACTTGATGATGCACTGAAGACTATTTTGGGATATGCTTGAATTGCTTCACTTGATTTTTCTCATTTTTTGTATAGTTACTAAAATAAATTTAAAAAATTGGCAGCTTTAGTATTTCGAAACAAATTTGTGGCTTTCGTATTACAAGCGGCAATATATATTTATATATATTATTATAATTTTTCTTTTCTATTTTGCGATATGTAATCAAAAATGCGACCTCCCCAATTATCGGCTATTGTTTGAGTAATGAATGCATGCATGCTTCTAAATTCGTAATATTTAAAATGTAATTTCATATTTTATGGATATGTTTACTAAGTTTTGTTTAGTTGCTTCCTTTCTATTCGTATCATATAATTAATTTTGCATTTAATTTAAGCAATTTGTTGCATTTTTGGTTCATTTGTTTATAACTTGAAACGGAGGGCTTACAACTCTTGATTATTGGTAGGTTATTTTCTTCGATTACAAAAATATGCATAGTGGGGACATTTTACGTTTAAGTTTTTAGTTTTATTCGCTAGCTGATTGTTAGTTAAATAAATTATTGGAATTTCTTTAGGTGTAAATATTTCGTACTAGGCTTTTATTGAGCTTCGCTACGTGGTATCAGTTACAAAGTTAATAAGTGTGGGGAATTGTTAGTGCGCGAAATGAAATGAAGTTACAGTTGGTATGAAGAGTGTGGGATTTGTAAATCTACTATCAAGCTCTACATAGTTTTTGGTTCTTTTTCTATTGTTTCAATGTTTCCAGTGTTTCTTTCGAATTCATAATTTTTCATTCCACTTGTTTCTTATTGACAAATTTATATGAAATAGTAAGATTTAATTTCATTTGACGCTTTGAATTCAAGGAGATTTTTTTAATAGTACATGAAGGATGGGTGAAACTCTTTCCCAAAGCAATTGAAATTGTGGAGTTTTAATTTTAATTTGTTTGTCATCATCTGAGACGTATCGCAATTGAGTCTAAGATTGATTTCAATTTCAAACTCTTCCATCGTTTACTCAACTGGGACATATGGAAAAGTAATTGAATTGATGACTGATTTCAATTTTTAGCTCCAAAATGCGTCAATTCTACTTGTTCCTTATTAAAGGCTTCACTTGTAACGGAAAAGTTAACTTTTAAAACAAATTACTTGTTTCTTTAACCTTTAAACGCATTGGAATTGTTGAAATTTTAATTTCAATCTTCAACTGATAAACATTGGACTTAAAAGTTGATCAAATATCAGATAAGGTAATACGAATTGGTGCCTTGTTGTTATGAAGTTTCTTTTTAAGAAAAATCGCCTACGTTACGTCTACGGACTCGGAAACTATACAGTTATTCCTCCTTCTTGCTTTTATGAAATGTCTAATTTTTAAATTGTGGATCTTTTCTTCATGTTTATTTATCAGCTATTTGTTTTCATTCCGCACACTTAATCGGATGCCACCTTTAGGGGCCTACTTGTAGTTAGCACGTTTTCTTACAGCTTTAACAAATTTTAGATAAAGAGTTTTATATTGTCCTGGATTTCGTTTTAAATTATAAAATTTCTGCTAAAGCCAGAAGAAGGTGGAAATCATAGATAGTACCAAGTAGAGTGAAATTTTAATTGTAGTTTTTCTAGCCCACATCTGTTAATTTTTAACAAGTCACTAATCTTTGTTTATAAGTTATCTACTTAGAATAAAGGTATCTGAATCCTATGAGTTTATATAGCGGTCTCTTGTGTGTTCAGCACCTCAAATAGATTTGAAACTTTTGCTTAGTTCATTTATTTGTATTTAATTGTAATTTGTATTTGAATTATTTGATTGATTATGTTGTTAATGTGTCTGTTAAGGTCTATTGATATTAATGCTTTTGATTGTTTAAATGGCATATAAATATAATTATTGTTTATGAATTATTACATTTGATGTAAGTTATAGGTGTGTTATTAGTTTTTAGACATCGAAAAACGTTGGATTATTTGTTGTGGTACATAATTGGTATTTTAAAGCGACTTGGGGGTTATCGCATAAATAGAGTTGCACATTTGATAAACACGATATATATGGCATATATGATATATCTTTATATCTTTTTTGGTAATTTTAGCTAGCACGTTAATCGTAATGAGAGGGATATTGATTTATCTACTCTGTAGGCTTTACGCCTTTTAAGAAGATACTTTATTGATTGGGTAAAGAGCATATAGAAAAGGTGGTCCATTTAGTGATCGTATTCGTCAGCATGATTAAGTTCAAGTGTTTACTGAGTTCGGAAAAAAACTTGAAAAAATGAAAAGAAAACACAAGTCAACAAATTTATGTAATTATGTATATATATTCTTCTCAATTAATATAGTATGTATATTTTGTTTTGTTTGCAACTACGAGTAAAAAACATTTCAGCACACTGTTTAGTTAGCATAAAATTGTTTATAATATAATAATAATAATAATATACACAAAACGCAAAAGAACGTAATGGAACTAAAATAAAAGTGAATAATAGTAATTGTTTATTGCTCGATAAGTAAGCGATTTAGCATTGAAATGCTTCACAAATTAGCACTAAAATTTCTAACTGTATTTATTTGTTTTGTTTTATTTGATTCGTTTCTTTTTTCTTTTGATATGAAAAACACAGTAAAAATTCCGTTAGTTGCCTGCCAGCCTGCTCGTAAAAACTAATTTATGCCAAAGGTGGAAAAGAGTTCATCTCCTTATCTTCCCTTCTTCTTTTAAAAATGAAACTTAAGTTTTCTTGTTTTTTTCTAGACATATCGATAGAAAGTGCTCGTTTTAACAATCTTGCATGTACTTGTAGTTATGATAGATATATTATTATTATTAATATTAATGTTATAGTTTATTTGTATTCGTATTTAAGACTACGCATGAATTTTCTGCATTCCTTCCAGCTTTACTTATTAGTGTTACACATGTGGATTATTTCTGCTCTAACCCGCTGCCTAATTACAAAAATGTTGCACATCCTTCCTTCCTGCTGTTTAGGCTATGCATATCGTATAAATATATTGTAATATGAACTATTTGTTTTTGTTGTTGTTGTTGTATAGGTATATATGTATATGTAAACTGTTTGGAATTCGCATGCACGCCCTTCCCTTCCTTTAAGTATTGCCTTGCATTGTAGTTTAGTTGGTTTTGTTTTAATTTCCATTTAAGTAGCGTGGATTTATTTGTTTAGTTGCGTTCCAAGCAGGTTTTCTCAGTTGTGGCGGTTGTCGTCGTCGTTGTCGTTGCTGTTGTTGTTGTCGTGCTGCTCGATTCGTCTATATCTTCAATGCTGGGCTCGATCTCCTGCTCGGTTATGACAGTCACCAAATTACTTGCAGCTCCTGTTAAATATTGAATAGCAATAAGTTAATAATGGGAATTCATTTGAGACTAAACTGCATGGTATTTTCAAAGACACAACAACTAGTTTTCAATTACCGGCTGTTCAGAAATTTCCGCTCTAGGCATGATCTGCGCAGGCATTCGAGAAGAATACAAATCGGGGCAAGAGAAAAGGCAAATTAGTTATCTTTTTCATCAACAAATAACCACAACGTTCAACATTTAGACGACAATGCAACTCAAAGCAGGCAATACACTTATACTATATATACAAACTACTATATGTATAGGGGGAATCAAAATTAAAAATCAAAACTGGAACCGAGGCAAATGACGAACTTATTTCCAAAACTCAAAAGCAAAGCAATTTCCGCACCGTTCAGATGTTGTTGCAACAGACTCGAGTGCGGCGGCGGTGGCGGACGTCCGTCGTCGCCCAAAAAACCGGATATGCCGTCAATGCCGCCATTACCCGTTAGTAGACCACGCTGTTGTTGTTGCTGCTGCTGCTGTTGTTGTTGTTGCTGATGCAAGGCGTTCAAAGCGCCACTCAATTGATGTTTGGCAGCCAAGCTGGCCAGCTGCTGTGGATGTGGCGGTGCATGCGGATGTTGTTGTTGCAACTCATTGCTCAGACCGGGCAACATAATGCCCTCTATATAGGGTTGGCAAGACATCATCGAGGCAGAGGGGTGTGCGACAATATGGCAGCGAGCAGGACAAACAGAGAGAGAGAGACAAAGTGAGGCAATGGGAGAGAAAGAGAGAGAGTAAACGTGGAAACGTGTAGACATTAATACGACTTGGTTCGCAACTGTTCCTCATTCACTTGAATAGGTAGAAAAGTCTTAAATCGCGCGACAACACAATGGAGATTTGTTTAAAATTTTAACAAGTTGCGTTCCAGCATCCCACTGTTTTTATTTGTTCTCCATGGCCTTCAACTCATTTCCCTAGATATCTGGTGTTTTCCTTCGTGTTCTATTCAATTGTTTTCAAGTATTCTCCACGGCGTTAGACTCATTTCTTTCTGGATTATTCTTAACTGATTCGATATTTGAAATAGCATTTAGTTTTCATTTTCAAATGTTCTTCTATCTATCTGGTCTTTCCTCAATGTTCCATTCCCAAGCATAGATACAAACTTTAGTTTTAAAATAATTAACTTTACTGTAAATGAAAACTATTTTGTGGTACAACTGGAACTCCTGCTTAATTTAATTTTTTATAATTCTTTCGTACTATTTTATGCTTCAACTTTTTCTTACAAAAATATATTGTGTTCCAGTTTTCTAGGAGGAGCTTCAATTCCGTTTGTTTCAAATAATAATTGTCAATTGAGTGGAAGTGGAACACATTTTAAGCACACCATGCTGCCTATGGTAGCATGCAAGAATTCATTTGCAAACGTTTATTAAATACTAAGAATAGAAACAAACGATCTTTTTTTCCCCCATTTAAAAAAAATATTTAAAACGATTCTATTAAGCTATCATAGACAACTAATTGTCTTCCATTACCACTCAAAGGTTATCACTAAGTAATAAAAAGTATGAAAGAAATATACAATTTATTTGATAGCAAACATTGATATTATCTTTTACGATCTTTTACGATTCCGCTATTATTCCAAATTCAAAATCAATCTTGAATTGCCAAATTTTTGAGAATCTAAAATCCCATCTGAATAAAATCTTATCCATAAAATGTCAAGGTCCTTGACAAAGTTAATAAAATCGATCGGGTATACAAACGTTTATCTTTGAAGCTAAAGCGACTAACTTTTTATCTGAATTAATATTGTTTTTATTCTTTGCCTGCCTTTTCCATTCAAGTGAACAGCTTCAAAGGTTTTGTACAAATGGTGGCATTCCAACATTTATGGGTCGTACAGGCTCTATATAATTATTTGCACTTTATACCTATAAGTCCCCCTTGGTCCATGCATATGGACACTGCTGCAGTCGTTCGTATTCTAGAGATATAAGAACTGCAAAACCAGTTAGGGACCTTTCATTATTGGCGCACGCAGCGAAAGCAGACGCTTGGTTTGTTTGTTTCTTTTTTCTTTTCTGCAGATCGCTTGGATCGGTACTCACTTGAATTGTGCTCGTAGTGCCCATTCTGTTGGTTCATTTTGGCCGGAGAGTCCGTGTTGAGTTGCGAGGCAGTCACCGATCGTGTTTGCAACGTATTCGGCTTCGAGTTGAGGGCTGAGCCGGGGGCGCTTGGCAAGCCGCTGCCCGCTCCGCCGCCGTTGGGCTCATCCAAGAGCTGACGCAGTCGCTGGAGTTGTGCCTCCAGCTGGCGATTGTGATCCTCGAGTATCTGCATACGCGCCTCCAGACGACCTTTGTGCTGACGCAACAATTTGGCTTCAGCCATCATGTCCTGAAAGCAGAAAGTTATCAAGTATTATCAATCAGTTTTTAGTTTAAGAATGTATCTAATTTTGAAATAGATATTCTTTTTAATTTCGATTTTAAGTAACAAATCTATTTAATCGATATGGTTAGTGGAACGTTTCATTCATTTTCAGAAAATCTTTTCATAGTTTTTGGTTGAAGCAGAGGCAATTTCTTTGAAGCGGTAATTAATATTTGAAATCTACAAGTGATTTTTTAAAATTGTAATTTAGAATCAATGGACTGCGTTTAAGTCTCGGGAAATTGGTAAAGCTAGTTAAAGTGTGAGCTAACCATGTTAATTTTTGAAATTTTATTCACACATCCTTTAAGACTTTGATTATTTCAATTGGCACAAAATTCTTATTAGTTTCGTTAAATCTAGAACACAATACTAAAACGTTTTAAAAAGTATTTTTGGAAGCAAAATGAATGCTAGTCTTCTAAAAAAATTCCATTTAGTTCCGTAAAATTTTTGAGGACTCTCAGCAGATCATTGCTCGAGTAATTTTTTTTTTTTTCGATAAAAAGTTTCATTTCATTTCGATAAAAACGCTATTTGTAACAAACACAGTTCGCAAGCTTTTTATCGATCTATACTGTATGCTTAAGAGTTGCCACATAGTTGAGAGTACTATTGCCTTGCCTTACAGACTGATTACTAAAGTAGTTAGTCTCGTTTCGTTTCGTTTCGATTCGTTTCATTTCATTTCCACCCACCTGTCCATGTTCGCCTTGTGTCGCCAGTCCCGCCATATTTGAATTGGAATGCTGCATGCCATTGGCGGCATCTTCGGGCGTGCCACTCTGCTGTTTGCTGCACAGCTGCTGATACTCTGCCTGTAGGCTGGCGTTCTCCTCCTCCAGGTCCCGTATGATGGCCTCCAGTTCTTCGCGCTGTTCCGCATCCATGGCGGCCATCACTTGGACGGGCGACTTGGGCGCACTGCCATTATTGGTGGGCAGGGCCTGACAATATTGGGCGATCAGCTGATGTTCATCGTCGCTGTCGGGCGTGGAATTGGAGCCCGTGCCGCCATACTCGACCTGGGCCAAGCGAGAGGCGTACATTTCCAGTCGCGAATGCATGTCGTGCTGCAACTGATGTGTGGTGTGTTGGGGACTGGGTGCGGGGCTTTCCAGAGCATCGCCTGAAAGGTAAATATATCTCTCTAGCAATTCTGAATGGTTGTGATAGTTTTGTCTTACCCTCCAGTACGCTCTGTACGGGCAAGTAGCCGACGCGTGGGTGTTTCTTAAAGTATTTGCGACTCTTGAACTTATTTTTAAGCGCGCGCGTAAAGTCGCGCACATCTTCGGTGGATGTGGTCTGTGAAGAGAGGCAGCGAATAATTAATAATCAGATTACTTTTCCAAATAAAGTTTGTTAAAGAAGTGCTTTGCTTAGAAGTAGTTTGTATTTTTGAGTTGTTAACATTTTTCCCTTGAGATTCTACGATTTCGATTATTCATACGCACCGTTGTACAGTATTCGTGCATGGGATGCGTTAGCTTGTGGTTTTTGGCATTGCGTCCAAAGAAGAAACACTTTTGGCACATGTCGAAGTTGAAGCACTTGAGGCAGCGATAGCGAAAGCCGACAATGGGATACTCTTTGCAAATGTTGCACTTGGCCTGCGAATAGAGCGAACAGCATAAGTGATGGCTCGTCACACAAAATGGCTGCCAATCCGCTTACCTGATGCTTGGCCGCCTCTGCGGCAGCGAGCCGATGCAGCACCGGCAGCCAGACAAGACTCTGGGGCTCGTGCTGCAGCCAGCCCAGAAAATGTTGCAGCTCTATTGAAATATCCTGATTGGCATCAATGGCTGTCAAGTGGTTGGGTTGGATGAAGGGGAGAGCAGGGCAGGGCAGGGCAGGGCAGAGAAAATTGCGTTAGTAGTGCGGCACAGCGTTCAAAAAACGAAAGCATATTTACCTTCCTGCGAAATGCCAGCCTGTTCGAGACACGAACGCACCGATGGCTCTATGTTGGAGCCCCCAAAGGCCGCCACCTCGCCCAATTGACGCGGCACCTGCGACAAAGTACACACAATTAGACCGAGCGGCAGTGTGCGCTTTTCCGTGGCACTCACCTGTATGCAGTCATGCAACAAAAGTCCCAGACGACGTTGATCCGCTCGCCGTTCAGTGTCCGCAACCAAGCGGAATAAGTAGCGATACTTCTCCTCCAGATGACCCCTGCACAGGAGGACGAGTCCCACCTTGAAGCTGAGCACGCGTATCTGGCCCGTGCGCTGCGAATCGTAAACATTCAGTATCCAGTTGATGGCCAGGTCGAGCATTAGCGTCAAATCAATTTTATCGATTGTCACGTAGAGCGAATGTAGCACCGTAGTCATATCGGGTATATCGATCAGTTTATCGTTCTGCGCACGCAGCCCATGGCGATCGAAGGACTCGCATGCCGTGGCCATGGTAATGCGATCGAGTGCTATTAAATAAAAGCGAACATATATATTTTTGGGAACATTATGGGTTCATGGAATTCGACGCACCCAAACGCTTCTGCACGGACCGCAGCTTCATGGCCGTGCGATAGGCCGAGAAGCGTATTTCATTCAAATCGGCCAGGCCCTTCATCAGCTCAATCATCTCGGGGTGGTCCCAGTGTGTGGTCTCGCGCTCGTGGCTGCAAAGCAAACATTTGAGTACATAGAACCCATTATCGCGTGGGACGGACACTCACTCAATGTAGTAAGGCACATTAGCGGCCGTTGTGGCACGCTCCCAGGGCGGCTTTACACTCTGCCCTAAATTCGGCAAAGGTCCAATTGTGCCGCTGTTCGATGTATTCCGTCCATCATCGCCATTCTCGTGCGTGTGATTAGCGCCGGCTGCGCACAACACCTTCTGTCGTTCATCCATCGCAATTTCCAGGAGTTTCATTCTGCAACAGAAACAATATTAACAACATAATGCAAACAGTTCGCTCGCTAATGGAGGGGGGACTACCAACCGTGTATTGAGGTCCTCCAGCTTGGACAAACAGGGCGTTGGCACCAGCACCTGATTGGCTGTGAAGAAGGCCTGTTGTTCATTGCAGTCGTCCAGCAAGGCGCTGGCCGTCGTCATCTTATCCCGGAGCCTCTGCAATTGCTGCATCTGCTCGTTGGCCTCGTTAACAGACGCGGGCGTTTGCCACGCATTTTTCGTCTGCTCCGCCAGGGCGACACGTGAGCTCAAGTCCTCGAGTATCTTTTGGAATTGGCGCATTTTCTGCAAAGACGAGAGCGAAGGGAGCGGGTTAAGAGTGTTTCGTTACTTGCATCATAAATGAGAAGTGAGGAGAGATGTGGCAGGAGAAGAGAGATGGTGGGGTTTTCAACGATTTCTTCCCATATCTGTATCCGACTTAATTATTAAGCCAACTACCAATTACTTCAAATAAATAGCAATAAATCTGTGGCTTAACAGTTTGTTAAGAAAAGAGTGAAATAATTTTGTGTTTGGGGCTTTAAATTGTTTTTAAAAAAAGTACATTTTCTTATTTATTTATATACAGCTTAAAGATAATTCACATTACAGATAAGATTATTCTTATGAATTTATTATAATGGAGTTATTTACGGAAATAAATGTATGAATTTAATTATTTCGGAATTAAACTTGATGCTTTAAGAATCTTAACGAATATTTTGAAGTTAACTTTGGACGAACAAAAAAGATAATAGGTCGATGGTTGGGAAATAATTCTGCTGGCAGCAGGGGGGGCCTTCAGATAAAATGTTCTTTACTGAGGTAGGGGAACTGGTGTTGCAGAATTGGAATAAAAAGTATTACTATGAGTTGTTTTTTTATTTATGCAGCATCAGAATTATGAAAAAGTTGATCATTTTTTAAGAAAGAGAACTTAATACTCAACTTAAATTTTTGAGACAATTAAACTTTCACTTCGTTTTTATAAGTTGGTATCATAGTTGGTATCAGCATTGCACATCAATATTTATTATAAAAAATAAATAATTACAATTAGAGTGGATGCCTTTTTTGTTAAAGAATGGTATAAAGTTGTTTCTATACATTATTCAAGGCATCTTTTAAAGAGAAGAGAGAGAGGAAAACGAACAGAAAGAAGTCCAGCAACGAGAGTTCAATTTCCACCGCCTAGTCGAGCAATAAGTCGGCGCGTTTCTTTCTTTTCATCGTAGAGCCAAAGCATGTGCTGGCTTTAACTTTTAAATTTGTTACTAAAACAGTCTATGGCTTATTTTCATTTGATCATTAAATATAAGCCGATATTTAATTATTATAAATAAAGCCCCCATATACTTGTAGGTTCAGTTCATTAATACTACATACACTTCTTATTAAATAAAAGCCCCTGAAATTCTTTGCATTTTTAACTCAAAATGTGTGCCCGGCATTGTTTGCAAGGCATCCTTTGAAGCCTGCACACATCCACCAAGGCACACAGCCAACGAAGACGGGGAAAGACAACACAGACAGGATTTGCCGCTCAACTTTAATGGGACTTAGCGTGTCTCACTATATTATAATTAGTTTTGAAGGCGCCTTTATTACTATCACTACTATTATGCTATTATGCCGAGAGCGCTTTTCATTCCTTTGCTGCTCTATTCTCTTCTGTGCGTTTCGTTGCGTTGCTTTGCGTTTGTTTTAATATTTAGTTTATGTCATAGTCGTATGCACAAAACTTAATTTGGCGCACGGCATTGCAAGGGTTTTTGTGCTCAGACAATGCGAGTGGAAGGAAGAACAACAATAACAATTACAATAACCATACAATAGCCTGTTACTTAGTTTTTGGCAAGCGAATGAGTTTAATTTTCGAATGCCTCGACGTTTGCTGCAGTGGGCGACGACTTTGGTCGACTCGAAAATTTTGCATTGCATACTTCAGGGCGGGCAGTTGATTTCCGGGTTTGTTGGCATTCTGCCACACATTCTGTTGTTGATGTTGCTGTTGTTGTTATTGTAATTAAATAACGTGCTCATTTCTGTTTGAGAACAGACGCTTCCCACAAGCTGTGTTTAAGCTTGGAAGCTTGGTTTTAATTTCTGTCGACAAACATAGGCTTTATGATATGTTAAAAAAAGGCTGAATAGGATAGATCTAATAAAATTACAGGAATATCAATTTATTTGTTATTCGACCAGCTATGCCTCAAAAAATCCCTCATAGGGATGTTATCACTACTAAGTTGATTTTTAATCAAAGGCCGATTAGAGTACTATTGAGGAGAAAACCGAGGAATCTCGGTTGTTGTGGAGGTAGATTTATTTGATTTATTGTTAATATCTGCAGATAGCTGGAAAGCAAGGATTTTAGAGCGGTAAGAGAGGATTCGATTGAAAGCAGGTGGGAAAGATCGGTAAAGAATTTTGAAATGCATAACCAGTTGTGTATCTTTTAAGGAAAATATTTGGTGGCTTGATCTGAGCAGTTAAGACGACTTAAAAGATGAGAATCATACAGGATCTCCCCACGTGGTTCCATATTTAATCTACATTCATACTATGATAAGCATATTCTATAGTAATTTTTAAAATATTGTAAATTTTTAAAATATTGTAATAATAAATTCAATACGATAGTTTTATTTTATGGACAAATTTAGTATTCACTTTTAATGTATAAACTAGATTAAACTGTTAAAAAAATAGAGTACAAATTCTTTATAAAAAAAAGATCGCAGAAATCTACCAGTAATTTGTAAAGGAACACAACAGCCAGAATAGTCCTGCGATAGGCCAGTAAGAGGAAATTTATTGGCACAAGACTGCCTTTCTAGCGTGGAATTTTGGACCCCAGTTTAAGCCAAAAAGTGGATAAAAGAGTTATTGTTCCGGAGCTGACTTTTTAAAACATTTTGAAAGAATTAATTTAAAAATAAAAAGTAGACTTAAGTATCTACTATATGTAATGTACTTAGTATTTTTATGAAGACTTCAATGAAATAATTAAATATCTACTTTCAAAACAATTTTTTTTTTGAGTCTCACTAAATATTTGTTGTTTAAATTCAAGGCTAGATTATTTTATTTATTAAATTTATTTCATTTTAGCGCCAGCATGTCAGCAAAATAGTAACACATTTCCATTTGTTTATTGAAAAATAAATAAAGAAATCAAATCTTCATATTTGAATAATTAAAATTAGTTTTTAAATTGTAAGCAATACCAGCTGTTTTACTTAAGAAATGTCGGCTTTATGATGATTCTTAATTAGAAAATTATATAAATGCAGATGAAATTGAAAGTTACTTATGTTTTACAAATATTTTGTATCAAATGAAATAGAATTTGCACTTTCTTTTGAAATAAATAAAGAAATAAATAATTCGGAATTTCTTTCGCTCTTCCGTTTCCTTCTCCCTTCAGCCTTTCATGGCACGCTCTTCATTAGCAGTAAAATGCAAAAAATATCATATAGAAGTGGAGAGACCGGGAAAGCGAGACAAACGAAATGAAATTTAAGCTTTTCTATGCCCTTTGCATGCGTGTACCCTCACTTTCGTTCGAGCTTTGCCGCCTTTTCAGCACTCCCCGCACTTTTCACAGTTACGCCACTTTCCGCGTTTCCCGTCGTCCCAATTTGTGAGCTTTGTAACTGTAAACTGAGGCGGCAGCTGAAGCAACAGCCAGCACGTTCAATTTGCCCATTTTCGCTTTTCAATTCCAACTACTACTCTCCTTTTCCCCATTATTCAGTCTCAACAGAAACTCGGTGCTGGCGCCTTCAAGTATGCAACGCGCTGCGTTTCCCTACGCTCTTCTTTCACCACCACCACCACCACCACCACCAACAACAACAACAACAACGAGAACAACAAGAGGGGCAGCTAAAAGGTAAAACTTTTATTGCTGTCGTTTTTGATCAAAGAATATAGTATATATGTATAGTATGCATGCAGGCATGTATATGGATGCGAGTGGTATGCATATAAAAGGCGAATGCATTTTACCTTCGCAAAACTTTAAAACTTCAAACGTGATGCTGGCGGGTGCCTGCCACGCCCCCGAACGCCCTAGTCGTTCTCGTCGCCCGCCATTTACTTTATTATTTCATTTAGTTATAGTTTTCGCTTTGTTACTGCCGCTCCTGTTGCTCCTGTTGCTGTGTCAGTTATTTTTTAATTTAGTTTTCTTCGAGTTTGTGTTTTTGATTTTGAACTTTGTTCGCTTTGCAACTCCCAGGCGTAAGTTTATGCTTCATAATGCCAGCTGCACGCAGGATATACTCGTACTATATTCTTCTCGGTGGTAGGTCGGCAAATTGTAGTTCAGTTGGGGTGTTTCCACTCCAAGGACTCTGCCCCACACTGTCCATTGGGGTTAGTATTGCTGCTCCTTGAAGTAAGGCAGACCCGTCTGTTGTTTCTTGAATTCCTATTTGATTTTTAAAGTCTTGAATTATTTTTCTTTCACGCAATTTTGTCGCATTGTCCATTGCAACGAATATAAATTAACTTTAATTCAAGCTGCTACAACAAACTTCATTGCCATAAGATTAGACAACTTGTTTAGAAATGGTTTGCATTTGTGACTGTAGCTTTAATATTTTAAGCGAGCTTTCTAAAAGCCTTTGCCATCTGAAACTTAATGCTACAATAGAGCTACGCTCTTTGGAAGACCTTTTCTAACTTCCTTCAAGATTGAAAAATGTAAATAATAGTAGAAGAACTAAGTTGGGATTTTCTAAATTGTAGCTTCAGTTGAATATCCACTTGATTGATATTGCATTTATTTTGTGCTTTTCAAACACAAACTGAATATTTAATGATCATTTTAAAAGATTTCTCCACTAATTATTTGTAATAAAATAATTTTAGGATATAATGTGTAACATGTAGCATATTTGTCGGCCTCCAATTAAAAAGGCCTTCAAAAAACTATTGATCCTTCTTCAGTCAAGTATAGCAAAGCTATTGCTATATTATATTATTTTATTCAGCTAAAATGTAGGGCTAGCCAATGCGACTTATCTATTTATGAAAATGGGATCCAAAGAATTCAAAACTAGGAAACGATATTTCGAAGGTACTTAAAGAAACGGCTATATATAACTATTTACTAAATATATACAGTATTCGCGCTTGCTATCTTTATTTAGAAAGCATATTATTGTCATTAAGGTTCAATATTCGTGAGGTCTTTGAACGATACATGCATTTAGAAGAAGACAGAAGGCAGCTCATTTATAAATGAAAATGAAGGAGACCTTCAGGTACTCAAGCAGTTACTTAAAGACATT